GGCTCAAATCGTCGCCTTCCTTTGGGTTGGCTTTCAAATACCCAAAGGCTTCGCCTTCAAATACATCAAGGGGGTGAGAAGTGACTTTCCGAACCTCACATTCCATGTCAACTGCCATATCAAAACCTCGCCAAGGGAAGATGTTGGTAGCTCAAGGCGAACAAATCTGCACAGTCGATGCTTTTGAGAGGCCAAGTGGCTGTAAGACAAGTCCCAACAGATCATGTGGCTGGGACCCGAGTGCGCTGGATGACTCGCCCCGGCTCGCGGCTCGCGGCTCGCGACAGAAGATCCCTTTGGCGGAATCCGAAGCCCCAAGATCCGCGGAGCAAGAGACTCGTGCCGCCGAAAAGGCTGGTAACTCCCCCTGCTCAATGAAGGGCGGGTAAGCATTGGGGATTTCTCGAAAAAGAGGAACACCGTCCCTAACCTTCAACTTCCCGGGTGTTGAGCGATTGTGGCATCCAACTGGATTTGTTCGCAACCCTCCACAGTACGGCACATCGAGCCGCGTCTCCTTCATAGAGGCGTCTCCATCTTTCGCCCTCGGCAAAGAGCGCGCGGTGAAGAGCGCGCGAGAAAGGCGCGAGAGCTGAGGCTCCCACGTCTCGGCCACCGCCTTCGAAACGCGAAGGACGATGGCACAACCCCCGGCTCCATGCGAGAATGAGAAGTTCCTCATTTTTTGGGTCCAAAGATTCGCTGGTACCCAGTTTTGGCGGCTTAGAGAGAAAAACAAAGGAACACATTGCACTTGTTTCTTTTATTTTTCCCTTTGAGAAATGATGAAAAGGGGTTCCCGCGAGAAGGTTCAAGGAAAGCCCGAAATAATCACGCCCATATTGAGAACGGGTACCTCAAGATTTCCCATAGAAAGCCCTGGAAATCTTTCTCAAGCCGCGTGGGTTCTGGTAGTAACCGGCGTGCATGCATGGACCCAATCTTTCAGCACGGGCCCCTTATAGGATGGCTCAGGAAAACCACCAGGAAACCCACTCAACGTGGTCCCCTGTGAGCACCCATCTTGACATGTCAAGTCGCCAAGTCAACACACTCCAGGAGCGCGAGCGCTGCTACCTTGGGATCGAAGACCATGTGAAGCGATTGGGCGGGGGAGTTTGAGGCAGGGTGTTTGCATTCAACTCCGGTGTCTTCTGGAACGGATTTGTGTCTTTGAACCCTAGCCCCCCTTTCTTACTGGCTTCAAAGGGAAACCATGTGCTTCAAAAACAGTAGCGTCTATTGATTCTTCACCTGACCAATGGGCCATGGGATCCTTCGATCTGGCAAAGCTGCCGTCTTCCAAAATTGATTCCACTGCCAAACGACTGACTTCAAGGGAAGAACGGGGTACATGCCCCTTATCAGATGGCTATATAGTGGGTGTACTTAACCTCGCGAAGTAGAGGTTTGGAGGTGAGTGCTGCCAAAAAATGAAGGGAATCAAACCTACATAGTGCAACTGCTCCTTCTCATGACCGGTGCAGAAACAACAGCGGATGCGATTTGCGATTGCGGATATAGAAAGGATAAAGGATCTGCTGTGTCATTGACGAGGCAGAGCTATCTGACATTACTTTGTATGGTCACACGGAACAACACACCAAAGCAATGCTACGGTAGGTGGCATTCTTTCAGATCAAGGATGGATGGATTTGGTTGGTTTGATTCAGTTACCTTCAGCCCTTCACAACCTGTTCGGACATGGCTGAGCTGAATATTCATACATTGAGCTAAGTGCCCTTATAACTCATCTAAGTTGGATTGCGTTGCATGCACACTTTGTGTTGCCTGCATTGCGTGTGCGGCAAAAACGATGGTCTCTGGTACAGTAGGTGTTGCATTATACACCTGCACTCTGCGCGTTTGTAAGTATATTCGCTTGCTTGCTTACTGCTTGGCTGTTTGCTCGGTTTGTTTTGTGTAGTTTGTGTGCTTTTGCGTGCCTCAATTTGTGTTGTTTGTGATGGTTTTGTCGGTCTGTCTGGTTGTGTGTTTGGTTGTTTGTTTGTTTGATTGTTTGTTTGATTGTTTGCTTGATTGTTTTTTTGTTTGTTTGTGTGTTTGACTGCTTGTTTGCTTGTTTGCTTGTCTGCTTGCTGGTTTCTTTGCTTGTTCGCTTGTTTGTTGGTTGGAGCATTCGATTGCTTGGTTGGTTTGATTGTTTTTGTTTGTCTATATGTTTGTTTGTTTAGCTGTTTGCTTGTTGGTTTGTTTTTGGTAGATTTGTTGTGTGTTTGTCCGATCGTATGTTTCATGGTCTGCTAGTGAGCTGGATTGACTGCTTGCTTGTTGGCGTTGCTTGCATCTGTGCTTGCCTGCTTGGCTGGTTGGTCGGTTGGTTGGCGGAGGGATAGTTGGTCGGCTGGTTGGTGGTTTGTTCGTTTGGTTCGATGTTTTCTTCTTTGCGTGTGTATGTCTGTTTGTTTGCTTGTTTGCCTGCTTGCCTGCTTACTCGTTTGTGTTTGTTTGCGTGCTTCTGGATTGATTGTTTGTGTGCTTGCTTGTTCGCTGGTTCGCTGGTTCGCTGGTTCGCTGGTTCGCTTGTTCGCTTGTTCGCTTGCTTGCTTGCTTGCCTGCTTGCTTGCTTGCTTGCTTGTCTGCCTTCCTGCCTGCTTGCTTGCTTGCTTGCTTGCTTGCCTGCCTGTTTGTTTCTTTGCTCGTTTGTGCTTTGATTCGTGTTGTTTTGCAGCGTTGTCTGATGTGCGTGTGTTCTTACTTGATTGTTCGTCTGTTGCTGTTGGTTGCTTGTTTGCTTGCTTGCTTGCATTGTTGTTTGGTTGTTTCTGTTCGCTCCCTTGCTTACTTTATTGTTTGACTGTTTGTCTGTCTCCCTGTCTGATTGCTGTCCGGCCGAACTATTGTTTTTAGTAGTTGTGTTTTGGCTTCTTCTAGTTTCCTTGTTTGCATGTATGTTTGCGCTACTATCGCACGTGTGTCCGACGTGCGCCGATTGTCCTTTCTGTTGCGTGTGTGTGTGCATCTGCGCCCGTGCTTGCGTTGTCGGAATGCATGTCGTAGTGTGTTGTGCTCAGGAGGTTGCCGGTACGTACCCTCATTGCTTGTCCTGTTGGCTGTGTGTGTGTGGTTTATGCCGGGTGCCACGAGTGCTCTTTGTTGTTATGGTTGCATGTGACGTGCGAGGACACTGCGCCTGGCAATGAAAGCGACTTGGATTCGCCTGCATGTGTTGACAACTATATACGCGTGATGCGCTCGTTGCGCAGGCAGTTGCTGCTTTTGCTGCTGCTGCAGCAGCAGCGGCAACTGTAACTGCTCAAAGGAAAAGACTGTCTGAATGCGGCAACACCCACAGGCACAAATGAGGGACAAGCGTATTGCTTCCATCCACTCAACAGTCACAAACACCTCAAGCCCAAACGGTTCAACATGATAGACTCATCAAACATGATTAATCGATCCGAACTCGTTGCTGATGTCTACTTGCTTGGTCCCCGGCTCTCCAAACCATTGCCTCCACAGAAGCCAGTGTCTTTCATGACATTCAGAAACTCAAAAACGCCAAGGGTCAAAACACACAGGTTTGCGCTTGGACGAGTGGACGAGTTGTGCACACTTGCTTGAACACAGCTCAACCGCTGGATAGGAATCTGCCAAGATCTGGCCAGTGTAACTCGCGTTCCTAGGCTATGCTTGCTCAAAGCAAGTATCTGGGACATGTGGAGCTAGTGACAAGCCCGTTTCTTTCTTACATGAGCAGTCACATTCGTTTCTGTCATGTTGCTGAATCGCGCATAGCCGGGATCTTTCTGGACATTGGCTCTATCTGCCAAAGTACGCAAGCAACTCGGAAACTGTGACTCCGACTTTGGCAACAAATACTTGCCGAACGAGTGGCTTGAACACTGCGGCGGCTTTTAGGATATTCGGTTCTTTGGTTGGACGGTCAGTGAACACTGGCAGTAGTCGCGGAGAGGTGTCTGGAAGGCTCCGAAATTGAAAGTCACCAAGAGATTCAGCGATCGCCGCGCTCTACCTAGTTTCTTTTGTTGTTGTTTTTGTTGAAATAGTCTCAAATAGTCTTTGACTTTTTTCTTTTTAGTACATAGTCTCAAATAGGCCTTGAGTTCTCTTTTTAATATATATATATAGTCTCAAATAGTTCCTCCAGAAAACAGAACTCTGAAATAAACACGCCCATGTTTGTCCTATCTCCTTCTTCTCAAATGTGACTTTGGAGAGGTTCGCGGTAGGAATTCGCGAGGCAGCGCGACTTGCACTTCCTTCAATGTTGCTCTCTCTGCTTTGGCGGTCGAAAAAGCAGCCGCTGAGTTCGTTTCGACATGAAGCCAGATGCACCGATGCACCACGGGTCCGCATGGTGCCCATGTTCAAGCAGAGTAAACTCGTCACAATTCTTTGGCAAACACGAAACATGGCCCGGGTAAATGGTTTGCCCTCCATGGTTGACGTTGAAAGGGGAGCAATCATTTTTTTTTGTTTTGCAGTTAAGTGGGGATTTCCCGCCAAACCACAATAATTAAGCAAAAAATGTCCCAACAACAACCATGTCAAGGCCCTGCCTCCAGTGAGCAGAACCAGGACCACCCGGGTTCTCAAGCCCACCGCTGTTTCACCAACACACGCTTCTCGCCGAACGGAAAAAGATGCGGAAAACCGGCGCCATGTCACGCCCCGATGGGTCACAGCATTGCTCGTCAGCTCATGACGCATCATGTTTCTCAGCGCTCTGCTGGAGCCAAAGCTGCGAATCAAGGAAAACATATGAGCCACAATCAAAACCCGGTATTAAAATGGTGAACCCAGAACCATGAAAATAATGAATAAGGCGGCCGCAGCTATTTGTGCTTGGGATTCCCTTACTAACCTTCATCTACCCGGGCTTTGATTGTGTCTCATATGCGTTGCACATGCGACAGAAGGCTGCCTTGATGTCAGTACCTCCACGTCGCACTTAAGCCACTGCTTACATGTGCATAAGCTCAACTTGCATGCGCATCGTCCTGAAACCCTCTTTTGCCGCACTTCTGGACAGCGGGAAAGTCATGCACCCCGCGGGTCGATCTTGCCAGAGAGGATTGCGTTCGCCATTCCTGTTGTGCGGCGTCCCTTCGACTGCCGTTTCTCCTTTGGATAGTCTGAAAGTCTCCTTCCATTTGCTCGAGCCGCCTGGGAGAAAAAAAACATTTCCAATAGTGATGATTCCCTTTGAAGCCAACAAGGGAGCATAAATCATATTCTTCGCAAATGGAAGTTTCCTCTAGGCTTGGCCCAACTCTTGCTTCAAAAAGTTTGAACCACTATCGCTTACTGGGATGGTCTCAAATACAAGGTGTCCACGTCAATCAAGCGACTCAGGCGAATGGACACGGTCCTGGCATCTCCTTTTCCAGCATCGTGGCGCAATGCGCCAAATGTGTGTAGACCTCAGCAAGCGGCGCTTATGCAACCTGCTGCCGTTGATGTGAAGAGGTCCCTTTTCTCAGTCTGCAAAACAAAACATGTGCCATCTCTAACATGCAAGCACTGCTATCAGCAGAAAACAGTCCCTGAAAAATGCGTCAAGTCTTCAGTCTTCAGTGGCGCCTTTCCCACCTGTAAAGCCCACTCCTGCGAGGCAATGCCCCGGTAGTCCCGTCAAGCCGAGCTCATCAGCAGCCTGGTCCCTCATAACAGTCTGGGTCACTGCTGTTGGGTGCCACTGGAGGGAGCCTCAGCAAAGTCTCACAGCTGCCATGGTCAGAGGCTGACGGCTGAGCCGTCAGGGTTAACTCTGCCACAGCTACTGTGGTTGGAGCGGACAAAGCAGACGGACAGAGCGTCTGTCTTCGCGGAAAATATCCGTCACCGTGCGTTTTCGCGATGGCTGCTAAATGGTTAGAGAAGAAAAAACTCAACTGTGTGATGCAGTTGGGCCTGCGAAAACATGCTTGCAAGAGACTGAGACTGGGCGTTGCACTGGTAGGCGCAAGAGAAGTACCAGAACTCTGTCCAAGTTGTCAACTGTTCAATATCTTGCTTGCTGTCTGCTTTCGTCGCACCAAACAAAATACGCAGTCAGCAAATCTGACGCCGGTGTCAGCAATCTGCAGAAGCTTCGCCATCTGGGTGTGGCTCCAAATAAAAGAACTAGGGTTACGCAGGTGTTCGTCTTTGGTTCCATTTGCCAAGGGTGTCATTTTGATACATCCGGTCAGCCGTCTGGGCGGCGGTTTCTCTCACAGCTGTCTGGCCGAGACGCGACTGGGGCAAGCCACTTGTGACAGCCTCACTCTGGTTTGGGGCAACGGCTTGGTTTATAACAACTGGTGTGCAGCAGCATTTGGCTGGAAATGTGGGTTGGGCAACTCGCCGAAGCCTCAACATCTGGTATGCAGGTTCGCTGCAGCAATCGTTGCAACTGGATTAGCATAGCAGAGGACCGGGCATAGCTTGTCGGATATCACTTATTTTTTAGCAACCTCAAACAAGCCGAGTGGAAAAACTAAATGGCACAGTACCCTTTTCAACAAGACTTACTTTGTGCCCGGACAACTTAGAAACAACAGCAAACACACACGCCCGAAGCTCTTCTCCCAGTTCCAGCTGTTTTTGGTCTGAGCAGAGCACCACTACCAGGGCTGCTTCGAAGTGCTCAAGGTCCTGGGGTCTGATTGCGAGCCCAGCTTACCCCTGAACAGATATCAGCAGGTATTCTCAAAACAGCAAGAAGGCAAGCAAGCAAGCAAAGCAAACAAGCAAGCAAACACACAAACAAACAAACGAGCAAACAAACAAACAAACAAACAAACAAACAAGCAAACAAACAAGCAATTAAACAAACAAACAAACAAACAAGCATTTAAACAAACAACCAAAAAACAAATAATTTAACCATCAAACACACAAACAAACAGACAGACAACAAACAAAGCAATGCAAAGCAAAGCAAAGCAAACACAATAATTAAAGCAACACAAAACAAAGAAAACAAACACACAAAACAAACATACATACGTACAAACAAACAGACACATAAACGAAACAACCAAGCCAGCAATCAAACAAAAACACACACAGAAACACAAACAACAAACACAAACAAACAAACAAACAAACAAACACACACACACATTGTCACACACACACATTGTCTCACACACACACACACACACACGCACATCACTTTCGGCGCTTGGCTCAAAACCCTTCGGCGCAATGGCTTCTTCAAAACCAACCAAACACAAACACATAGAAAAGAACGCTCCCCCCATTAAAAAAAGAAGAAGAAAGCTTCAGGAACACACCCACCCCGTGGCTCGCGAAACAGCGACCTCCTCCCGATCCGTCCTCTAGGCCGGCACGCCGAGGCTCCTCTAGGCCGATGGCGTCCAGGGCTCCTCTCACGAACCTCCGAGCGCGCACGAGAGGTTCAGAGCAGAGAACTGTGGATGGTTGCGAAATCCACTTCGCACTTTGAGAAGAGAAACCACTTGTTGTCCACTTTACAGGGGAATCATCATAGGGTTTCTTCGGTGCAGGATTCCGTCCACACGATCCGTGCTTCCAACAGGCTCCAACGTTTCTCAAAACGAAGGCAGTCTTACAAAACCCTCAGCTTCCATGTTTGCTGGAAGGAGGAAAAAACACCATGATAAATTTCAGTTGGTTAAACAATCAAAATCTGGTCTGCTTTATTCTGGATTCATTTGGAGTTGTTTTGACATGTTTGTTTGACACAATTAAATACATAATCATCTTTTTATTTTTACAAGTGCGGGATGGGCTGGGATTGCATAGACCCATTGCTCCCTATGCCGTCAAACTGTTTTATGGGTATGCCAAAGCTCGGCGCGCTCAGAAGACTGGCTGTCGCATGTCCCAAGCAAAATGGCATGAAGGGGGTGACCACTGTTGAGATTCTTCCACATGGCAGGAAGCGCTAACCAACCAACCACACAAACAAACAACCCACCAAGCAAAACCACAAAACCAAGCAGCCAACCACGCAGACAAGAAAATAAAGGAAGCTTCAAAGTCCGCAGCAGGACTCCCCATCTAGTTGCTGTACAATAGAACGGTAGCCCTTCAAAGCGACATGCAAATCAAGAAACCGTAGCAACAATAATCAAAACAAGCAAATCTGCCTGGCATTCAGGTGCTAAAACTGTGGGAGTGGCTTACCCATTGAGCTGTGGTAGCGCTGCGCCTGTGGCAAGCGCCAAGTCTGAGCGCTTCAAATTGTTTATGTTCGCAGGCCTCACTCCAAAGCAAGGACTTTCTGGCGAGCTCATTTGTGTCTGTTCCTCGCTTGCCGCGAAGGGGTCATGGGCTTAGGATGGCTGAGGTCACTCCAAAGACTATGCTACTTGACAGGCTGTGCCTTTGATATACTCGCCGGCTTCATCCCCAATGAGATTTCTGATATATATATATATATACTGCGGGCGATGTGGGTGTGTGTAAGAGTAGTGGAGCCCCCAAAACGGTGGCTTTCCTTTTGGCTTTGTTGAGCTTTTAACAAGCTGAAAAGGATACCTTCAACAAACACACACACACAAACACACACACACACACAGACATGTACCAACGAGCTACGTTGCATACAGCTCCTTTTCAAATGCGACACAAGTAGCATTCATGCCTTGCCGTGCTTCGCTCTTATCAGTGACCCACCTTTGCTCGCGCTGTGTTTTTGGGGATGTCTGGACCCAATGACGAAACTATCTGCCGCGAAGAACAAAACACAGAAGGATGCAAGCCCTGCAACAAGCAACTGAAACACGGCGCGATCGATTTGTCTGGGAGCTCAACTCAGTGTCTGGGGCCGGGATCATGCGCTCCAGCCTGCGTCGCCATCTGCAAATGAAGTCAGCATTCCATGGATGAAACATCGCCCCCTCCCAAGCCACGCTGCACCATCAGAACTCCCCAAGTATCGGGAAAGCTTTGATGGTTGAACACCTGTATCCCGGTTGCAACCCCGTAAGGTTGACCTCTGCCGCTTGCTGCTCTCTCCGTCTCAAGTAACCATCGCCCTTACTGCTGACCGTCGACCTGGGTGACGTCCACATTTGACTTCAGTTCGTCCAATGGCAATCAACGTCTTTCTGCCTGAGGCTTGCTACTGGGTGTCTATGATGCATATCACCTTGTAATTGTCTCTCTTTCCGCCTTGCGACAACCCCTATTTATCTGCTTTCTGAAGCTTTGGATCGAGACACATCAAGCGGCTCACCTTGTGCTGGTTTACCCCGCAAGCCCAATCGACTTCTGGCCCTGTAGCCTCCCGCTCTCAGCTCCCCGACGGGCCATGCGGCAGGTGGTTGTGAAGCTTCGCCGCGGTCTGCAGGAGCACCGACTGGCAGCGACAGCGCCGGACAAAAGACGTCTTGGGCCTCCAACTGGGAGAGAATCTCAAAAAGGCTGTGGTTGTCAAAACCGTTTTGGGTTCCCATTTTGGTTGGTGAATTCACCAGCCATTTTAGAACCTATTTTAGTGGGGATTGGGATGTTCACTGGGGGTACGATTGGGTTTTTGACCCATGGCCAAATGGCGGATGGGTTCAAAGGGACAAAAGGAAGCAGGCCAGTTTTGGGATCCCTCTTATTTATTCAACTGGGTGCCTCACGGTGAACATGAGGCGTTCTCAAAACTGCTTTTGGTGGAACCATTTTAGAGCTTGAGGATGTCCCACACATCGCGACAGAAACCAGGTGCCAATCATGCGAGATGGAGCAGCTGACTCCACTCCTCGACTTTCGGTGAGGAGAGTGAACAACGATGAATGTGAGAATATATCCAAATATATCCAACACACAGATCCCACCTCAACATCGGAAAAGGGAAGACACCATGCTTTGCGCGATGTTGGCTTCCTCTCAACAGCCGGGCATGATCTAGGAGCCCTTCGACAAGAATGGATGGCGCTGGTAATGATAAGATCCCAACCAAAGCAAGTGTCATACATGTTCCACCAAACTGAGCCAAGAGGATACCCAACTCTTCACAAATGCCCAGTGGCCATAGGAAAAAAGGGCATCCTTTTTTGGTTAGTTGAGTTTGAAGGGAAACCCTTCCCAAAACAAAGGAAACAAGGGCGCACTGGGCAACTGGGTCCTTCACTAGCTTTTTTCCAGAGTCACCAAGAGCTCATGTGCAGAAATAGCGGCTAGAACAACGAGAGCCGCGCACCAAGCTCAACTGAGCATCAAGCATGGCTGGTTTTCTGCAAGCCTTCCTTAAGACTTTCAATGAAAAAGGTCCGACCAATTTTGGTTGGTCGGTCCCCGTGTTCTCCTTGTGAATTGACAGAACATATCTCAAGATGGTTTTTTAGCTCCCTTTGGCTCCGAAAGAATGAGAGAATGGGTTCTAAGATTGGATAAGGGTCTGTTCTTTTGGGCTTCGATGTTCCCATGTCAACGCAACTCTGTTGAAACAGTGGATCCTCAACGACTGGTTTCCAGGCAATCAGTCCGAAGCCCGCAAACCGGGACAGGAGTATCAGTCGAAACCCGTGGCCACTGTTCAATCGAGTTTTGGGCCTCGGAGATGTTTCGGTCGGATCGTCCCGTCGACCCTCTGCAAGACATATCCTGACTCGCCCCACAGCTTCCGATCTAACGACCCCGAAGCTTTCAGGCGAACAAACTGCTTGGATCGAAATCCTCACTTTAAGGGCCCCTGTCCGAATCAATCCGAATGGGTACTTGACCTCAGGGCTTACAAAGCTACTCCCTGTCAGGAAGCACGCAAAACTTGAAAACCTAAAGTTTGAACTTGCCAATGCCAAGACATTCCGGCCCAAGCAATGTGCGCTGACTCATGTGGAGCATATGGAATTTCAGGAGTCAACATGAAAGCAATCACATTTCAAGGGACCGCGAGAGTTCAGGCGCGCATGAATCATGACAACTGGCTTGACCTGGAGTCTCCGAGTCTTCATCACCCTCAAAAAATGGGGTCATGACCCAAAATGAAGGGGTCTTGGACCCTCTTCTTTTTCTTGCCATGGAGACTCTGGGAGATGCCTTTTGTTCATTTGTGTTTCGGCCAAGGCCGGCACATAACACTCTCGCCAGGCGCCTCGGATTGCAAAAACGTCTGCTGAGACCGGAGACCAAGGGAGTGACTTGGATGTGGTTGTCAAAACCGTTTTGGGATCCCATTTTGGGGTGGGTGCACCACGCACCACTCATTTTAGTCGGGATTTTAGTGGGGATTGGGATGTTCACCGGGGGTACGATTTGGATTTTGACCCACGGCCACTTTGCTCCACCAAAAGATGCGGTGCGAATAAAACTGCAGGACCAGGAAACCCATTCGAATCCTCCACCCAATTAAATCTCATACGTGGTTTGGTCACATTTGGGTTTGTCTGTTCTTTGGAGCCCAAAATAAAAAATGGCCGGTGTTTTCCTCCTTTGGGTGTTTGCTTCCCTTTAAAACCATCAAAGAAGGGGGGTCTCGTCAAACAAAGACACACCCATTGGTTTCATGGCACGGGCTCTGGCGTTCGAAGTCATCACCGGACAGCCACTCCTCCATCGCCTGGCGAGTCCAATGTGCTCCGGGCGCTTTGTTTCAACATCTTTGAACCAGGGCTCCGCTTTTTTGAGTACACACAGAACAGGATAAGCCTAAACAGGATAACTCACAGATGGCTGATTTCCCCCAAAGGGACAATTATCGGGTTTAAGTCGATTTTGGGTAGTCAAAAAGTGGAGCCAGGGTTTGAACCATCGCGTAAACCTCCTCTTTTCCGTCTCCCTTTTCGTTTGGCGTCCATGACGTAGGCATGAAAAGTCATTTTGCCTCTGGACTTGATTGAGATCACATCCCAGCGGAAAGGGGTGCATGCGGACCTGCACAGGGCAATATCTAAAATCACTGGGATTTGATCAGGGGCCTAAACGATGCTGCTCGCATGGCAGCTGCGCAGCATTCTGCAAAACCACAATTACAATTCCAGCAAACTAAGTAAAAGACAACCCTCAAATTTGTTCAAGTATCCACATGTGCGTAGTCAAATGACAGGCAAGCGCTTAACAGGCCTCGATAAGGCTCACTGCATGGCTATCGACCATGGCGGGCAAAGTCCCAAGAGCAACTTCTGGCTGGTCTGCGGTGTGCGCCAATGTGAAATTGGTAGGTGTTTGTGTGTGTGTATGCGTTGCTTTGTGTAAAGCTGACGCTCAACACAACGGCCAACACAGTCATCTTAGCTTAGCAAACAGCCCGACAGGTTCACAGGCATGCCAACAAAGCTCCGGTAAATTTGCCCCGTGAAATGTTCCGTTCATGCTTCTATACAAGCGTCAGCAAGACTCTTAAGTGGTGTCTGAAGGCCCGAGCTGCAAGATTGATAGAGCCGAACATGTGATGGTGGCACCAAAGGGCCACATGCCTGATTTCCGGGCTCGAGCAGCTCTCGAGGGGCAAAAACTAAAAAAACTATTTTAGGCTTTGCGCTAATGTTTAAGGCCATCGACCGGAAACTGCCATCAGCCACTAGGAAAGCGCAAACACCTGCAAAAGGCCGCACACTCTCCTGCAACACACCACCAAAAACGCAAATCCAATGCAGAACGCCGAAACGCCGATTTTAGACACCTGAAAAATTGGGAGTTTCAAGGAGAAGGGATTTCCAGGTCCTGGCAATTTCCTCTCAGCTAACCAAGGTCTTGGTCAATTGCCTGGCTTTTCTTGCCATGAAGCTGTTCTTCAAAGGAAGCTCGTTGCGGCCCGACAGCAGAGGGGCTTCAAGTTGGTTGAAGATGGGCCTTGGTCAAAATGGCTTGTTTCCCAAAAGGACCCTATATACACCAACCCTAAACTATAGGGCTCGTCTCCATTTGTTTTAGGGGGAGCTTTCAAGCTCGCCCCCCGAGTCCAAAATCCCAGATTGACCATAGACAAACCAACACGTTTTGACCAAACCTAACCTAACCCTGCGCATTTGGTGCACCTTCAAAAGGTCTTTTCTGACATGATGGCTGGGTTCGAAAAAATGTGAAGAACACCCATCCCCTGTTGGCTTCCTTTCTATCGCTCAACAAGCAGGGCACGCACGCAAGCGCTTTTGTCGCTCAAGCCAGCAGGCTCAACGCTTCCCTCAGGGCCCTCGGAGCAAGCAACGCAAACTTGCTGAAGATCGAGCAGTGAGATGTTCGTGTGATTCGAAAACGGATGGACAGGACCCGGGACTGGCAAATCCGAACCCTTTTCACCATGATTGGCGAGTCCCCAAGCCTTGTCTTGACCAAGTTCCGCAAAGCCAGCAGGCCCCGACGCGTTTCGCGGCCCAACGAATAACGCTGAGACCCAGCCCAGGGACTGTGGGGCAGGCAACCCGAGTTCCTTTCTCCCACTCTGCGCAAGCCGTGCATTTGCGCCAACTCTTTGGGGGAGGACCTTGCCAAACCTGTGAAGAACGGCGTGGAACTTCTGCGGAAGCTTTTATGAAGAGCTTCTCTAACCAAAACTTCCCGCCGGAACTCGCTCGGAACTTCGCAGGACACTTCACAAGGGATGACTGGACACTTCGCCGAAACTTCACCGGAAATTCCAAAGAAAACCTCGCCGGGCGAATCACGCGTTCCAGCCCCGGTGGCAAAACAGGGGCCATGGCGGCAAAACACACTTAGTACTTGAAGGAACCCCAGGCTGATTTTCAGAGTCAATTGACGCATGCGAGATTGTCCTCTTGGAAACTCACATACGAAAGTCAGGGAGCTCCTTAGTCTTCCCGCGTGCGCGAGGCCAACAGGAAGGAAATTTCGACCAAAGGTCGGGGGTGTGCATCAAACGTCAGATCAGCACTGCACTTCCCAGTCCGTGAGCTAAGCCGGGAGCCCAATTTCCTTGTCTCGTTTGGCCTGCCTCTCCTTCGGCCGGGGGCACGAAATGCATGGTCCAAACTTGCGCTGGGTCCGGTTTTCTGCTGTGTTTTTCGCTTTGTTTTTATATAATTGATCTTGCGTATGTTGAAGTATGCATCCATGCCACAAGTGTTGACCCTGGCAACAACAGCTGCAGCATGCAGTGGGCTCAGGCTCAAACTTCTGTTGGGGCAAAGCTTTGGAACTTTCATGCCAGTCACTGCTGCCAGCTTTGAGCTCCACTCCCATGACAGCCGCTGCCTTTAACGCCAAGGAAGCTGTCACAGCCACTGCAATGCTCAATCCACGTGAACCATCACTGATCGCTGGAAAACCATTGGGCCAGAAAGCCACCAAATCACCTGGGAAGCATGGCATGAAATGGGTGTGGGTCAAAAATGGAACCCTGGTAAATGGAACCAAGGACTAACAACTGCAGTCCCCTCGTGGCTGACCCATACCCAAATGCTTGGTATTTGCTTCAATCCGCCATTGAGGTCGCTTGCTTTGCGGCAGCTCCTCATAGCTGGGCTCCCCGTTTATGCAGATCGGTTTCAGCTCTGCGAAGTAGTCCTGAGCTGCCTGCGCAAACCAGAGCTCTCTGCACATTTCAGGCTATGCAATGAACACTCAAGCCACAGTCGACATTGCAGTCTGGTATTTCCTGGAGGCAATTTGGTGAGTGCACCCAAATCACAGTAGTAGATGATGGCAAATCTTGCCCAGTGTTCATTTACAAGCCATGTTTGTGTGAATGTGTAACATATATATATATAAGGTGCAGCGTCCCTAACCTTCCCCCCTCCCACCCATAGTCATACAGGTAGCCCCCCCGCCCCCTGCGGTCCTGTGGTCCTGTCCCGTGGTTGGGTTGTGGTGCAGTGTTGCTCTAGGATGGGTCCAGGGTTGGTTTAGGGTTGGTTTGCAGTTTTCGGCTTGGTTTTGGGGTTGGATTGGGGGTTGTTGTTGTTTTTGTTGCCTGCCCTGTGCTGTGGTTGGGTTGTGGGTTGGTGTAGGATGGGTTTAGGGTTGGTTAGGGGTTGGTTTTGGGGTTGGTTTAGCATTGGCTTGGAGCTGGTTTAGAGTTGGGTTGGGGTGGATTTAGCTTGGTATGAGTGGGTTTAGGGTTCCTTCTGCTCGAGTTAGGACGGGGGGGTTGTGATGGTCGGGCGGGGGGGACACACACCCTCAAAAAGACTTGCAACATGCCTGTAAGTATGCGTGTGTTTGCCATTACATTCTAAACTCACCCTCCAAATCTCAAAGCCTTCCAAAGGTTAGGTTTTCTTGGCTTTCCCAAGTTTCGCTTCAGTGCCTTTTGACACACTGCCCTTGGCACCTGAAGCTCCTTCTCTGTCAGCTTCAAATCCTCGCGGTCTTCCCGAGTTCCGGATCAACGAGCGCGTCAACCAACGCCGGGGATCACCTCTTGTGCTTTGCTTTTTGTTCGATCCCATGGCATCTCCAGCCACGGCGATCGAGACGGTGTCTAAGGAGCCCAGCGGCCGTTTTCAGACTCACTCCCAGGGCGGCTTTGTGGAGGGGACAGTCCGAGCTCCCGAAAATGGCGGAGCCACCTTCTGTTTCAAGGGAAGTGAAGGGTCCCATGGGCCCCGTCGAAGAGAAGGGGGCTTGCACCCCGAAAATGGCGCTGCAGTCTTCCCGTTGACTTCCCAAAACAATCCTAAGGGGATCCTCAAAATAACAAAACCGCCAAGCGCGAATCGCACAGAGTTTGAGTAGCTAAACAGCACACCTTCAATCGCCGAGATCAAAGTTTGTGGTCAAACACCTTGCGGGCCAGGGCTCCCTCAAGAGGAGTCCTTATCATCAGCACCTAAATTCCCAACGCATCGGTCCAAGACCATCCCTACCCAATCCCACTGGAGCTTCGATCATGGCACACACGTTCAATGCTCAAGCTCATGCCCATCCGATCATCTCCTTTTCGGCAGTCAGAATCTCCGCATTCAGCTTCTCTCTGCGGCCTTCCTAGTCAAGTGCATGGCGGCACTTCTGAAAGTGAAAGCGGACCAAACCTTACCAACACCTCTATGGCCTTCACTTTGTCCCAAGTTTCATGCAAATGTAACTGTCCTCCAATCACAAACGATCAACACATGCGGTCTTCTTACTACCTGCTGCTTGCGTGCTGAAGGATCCCGCGCGCATGGCCTTGTGTGCCTTCTCAATCTCCTTCACCTTCACATCCTGCACTCCCGTCGGCGAACAATTCTCACGATTGACCTACGATGGTCGTCCAAGCCCGGTGATTGTGTTCCTCGATGTCGCTGGCGACCCCTGTTGTGGAGAATCGCTCTGTGTCCAGGGTCTGTCTGCGTGTGTGGCACGAGTGCTTGTGCGCACGTGTGTGTTCTGTGTGTTGTGTGTGCGCATCGTGATGCGTGAGAGTGTTGTGTGTGTGTGTGTGCTTGTAGCGTAATTGGCGACCACAGGGGTACCGTGTGTGCGCGTGTAGTAGTAGTCTAGTATTAGTCTAGTAGTAGTAGTAGTAGTAGTAGTTGTTGTAGTAGTAGTCGTAGTAGTAGTATTAGTAGTAGTAGTAGTGGTAGTAGTAGTAGTAGTAGTAGTAGTAGTAGTAGTAGTTGGCAGTAGTTGGCAGTAGTAGTAGTAGTAGTAGTAGTAGTAGTAGTAGTAGTAGTAGTGGTAGTAGTAGTAGTAGTAGTAGTAGTAGTAGCGATGGCAGGAGTAGTAGTAGTAGTAGTAGTAGTAGTAGTAGTAATAATGGTAGTAACAATGGTAGTCAGAATAACAATAGTAGCAATAGTAGCAATAGGATTTTGAAGTAAGTAGCTGTTTGATAGTAATACGGTAGCAGTAGTAGTGGTGGTGGTGGTGGTAATAGTAATAGTAGAAGTAGTAGAAGAAGAAGTGGCAATAGAAGTAGCAGCAGTGGTAGTAGCAGCAGCAGCAGTAGTAGTAGTAGTCGTCTTACTGGTATGGCGAGTGTTTGGCGTGTGTGTGTGTGTGTGTGCGCGCGCGTGTGCGGAGTTTTTTTGTTTTGCTGGCTTGTTTGCTTGCGAGTGTATTGCTTTCTCTGCGTGCATGTCACACGTCGCGACTCCAAATGCAAACTAGTTTGGCCGTGGCCCAAATTTGCGCTTCGCACAATTTCATGGTCTAAAGTCTGCATGTTCGCATAGGGTCCTCTCGAAGGTGAACTCATTTCAACCTCTGCCCCAAGTCCCTAAGACCCAAAGGACTCACTGCCAAGTTAAAAACCCACCAGTCCTTCAAGCACTCCGTCTTGAAATCCTGGTACTTTTGCAGCGCTGCCGCCTAACAGCTGCCATGCCGAGCCAATAAAAGGGCATCAAACTTGAGGCGGTCCGTAAGGTATCACCTAGCTAACAAGTATCATGTGCACATGCACCAACACATACATCGAGCATGCTGTGCTCATTATGTAGATTCATCCTAGTAAGTATTGACTGTGTGTGATCATTTCCACCCAATTTGTGCAATTATTGCCTTAACAAGGGGAGGACAAGCTAAATGCCCCAACATGCGGCATGACTGCAACAAGCCCAGTCCACAACAACGTGAAGCATGGAAGCCTTATTGCCAAACAAAGTGCCAAAGCACGAGCTCCTATTGCCTTATTGCCAAACAAAGTGCCTTATTGCCTTATTGCCAACGGCTGCCTATCTTAAGAAACACCGCGTATAGCAACAGGGCGGCAGCCAAAGCACGGCGCCTCGGCATCGTTGGTGTCGGCTTCCAGCTTGGTAAAGTCGGTGATCAACACCTGCGATGATGGCCAGTCACTCAGTCAGGGTTCCATATTTTCAGGAATTAGAAGGGGAATGGCAAGTGGCGCTCTCATCAAAAACGCCTCTCGTCAGAAGCTTATGGACGTCTCCCAATTCATCCATGTCGCTTGGAACTCAGGAATCAATACGCTTCCAGGGAGCAAAATGGAAGGCAGAGTTTCCTTTCAGAACGCATTCTAGGTGGTTGCTCACTTCCAGGGTTGCTCCTTTTTGTTCTCCCAAACGTGGGTTGATCATCTCTTCTAGGCTGAAACAACAATATCAGCAACCTTTCTTGGAATGGATCTAAATGCCAGCAACCCTTCGCTGAATGGAACAACTGAACAAACTCCCTCTGATTGGTGGTTTGGATTAGTGGTTTGGGATTTGAACCCCTGGTTCTTGTCGAAGGTACATGGGAAACCTCTCCTTAACCACCAATCCACCAAGTAGAGAGAGGCTGAACTGAACAACCTCAAGAACATCCCTCACCTCCAGCATGGCTAAGACACCTCCACGTGCTCCGTGTCCGTCATAGGATCCCTGCGCGTTTCGGCAACTTGCGACCGGAAGCTGGAAATTTGGGATGTGTCCTCCCCCAAACGAAGAAACAGACATGTGGTTCCCCCCTATGTGCTCCCCACCCATGTGTGGTCCCCTGAGACATTTGGTCAGTTGCTCACGCGTGATGCTCTCGCGTCAACTCCCTGCGTGTCCACATTTTTAAGGGCGAAGTTGCAGTCGGCCGGGATCGAAAAACCGTGGGAATGCACGGGCGAAGCCTGCACGTCATCCAAGGCAGAGACATCTGTCTGCAGCAGAGCAGCCTGAGCCATCTCAAAGACGAGTCAGTGATTCACATGTGCCATCGTCAAAACCTGCTAACTACAAAGCATTATGTCGGTCCAACAGAAAACATGATGGTTTCACTATGGCACATTTGCAAGGCTGCCGGAGTTGTATAAACAAAAGGAAACTAAGTGGACCAGACTCAGAAACTGTAGGGGCAACCGGGAGTTTCAACAGCTGAAGGGTTGTCATGCTCCACAGCCAGGAGTTTGACACTCGTGATTTCCGGGTGGTTCCCTTTCAGGCAAACGAAAAGGACCTTCAAGTGAGTGATTTTAAGCTGGCTACCTTGCTGGCCCGAATATCAAATCAGTCCTCGCCAGACTTTGCGAAAAATTGTCTTACTACGTTGACCCCATGCTCCCCTCTCAACAGGGATATGAAGGGTCCGAGAATAACAAGTGAGGGGTGTATTACTCAGGGGCCCACATTACCTCAGATGCTCAGTGGTCATGGGAGAAAACGGGCAACCTTTTTTGTCGGTTGAGTTTAAAGGGGAACCCTTACCAATAAAAAAGAAAAAAGGCACCGCTGACCAACAGAGTTACAAGACGAATGAGGAAAACGCCCGGAAATGCCAAAAGTAAGGCAAGCGACTTGTCTGGCAAGCAACTTGCGCCTCAAATGAGTGCCCGACTCGTGCGTAGACTGCCTCAAGCACCTGGCAAGGTTCATGGTCCACGTGAAAGAGCCATGGATATTATTGACCACATCTGGGATACACAGAAATACAACTGTTTGTTTATGACATAATGACATCATAAATATCTATGTTTTGTTTATGATTCATATCGTGGCAGCCAGAAAATGTAAACTAGCTTTGGAGGAGACTACAGTAAAGATCTGGCCAACTATGGTAAACAACATTGTTCTTCTGGTTTGGCACGCCTCCGTGTCTGACAACTGTCAACGGTGTACCAATTCTGAGATGGGCGTGCGCGCATTTTCCGCGGATAGCTGGAAAAAATAGAGGGCTCTTGCTTCTGATATTAGGAGCAAGGGGTGGTGCTCACAAGATTGCGACCTGGGTGCTGGGGGCGTGTGGTGCTGATGCAGGTGCTCAGGTTGAAAGGGCTGTGCTGACCCGCATGCCTTCTTTTGAGGGTATCTTTTCTGGTTGGTTTGAAGGAAAAACAGAAGAAACACCTGTCATTTTGGGGGTCGCCCTAGTTTGCCACATACTTCAGTTCATCATAGGTTAACTCCCCTGCCCCCTCCCAATGAGAGTCACGATGTCACGTGCGAAAGACTCGCCACAGGGGATGGTCATAGCTCCCGTAGGCACTCTCACAGTCGGGTAGAGCCTTTTTGAGTGTGTCTAAAAATGGAGGTGCCCGATTTTGGGACAGACCCAAGAGGGTGGTTGATGCGTGACAAGCCAGTGGCAAAGCCCTAAGCATTTTGTCAAGCCCATAGCAGCCTGTGGCTCAAACTTTGGACATCAAAGTTGTCTCACAGCTGCGTGCCACCGCGGTTCCCCTTTGGCTTAGGCTTGGTGCCGGAGAACGAACGGAAGGAGAGCATGGGAGAGCCCGAAACGCAGTCTGGGCAAAGTGTCCAGATCCCTGCCAAATCTGATTGACACCAGCGTGACGTATGCTGAAATAGCTCTGCGGATCGACAGAAAGTCGGCACGCATCCTTCGAAGCCTCCGATTTCATAGTGGGGGTCATAGTTTGTGCACATGGCAACCGTTGAAGTATCCTGCCTCATTACCAAACGTATTTCAGGGTTCTTGAACATTTATCCCACACTTGAAGCCCATGATTCTCACAAGTTGGGTACTGCCGTGCCCTTTCAACTTGCCATAGTCTATGCTTAATATGAAATTTGCTTTCAACATTGGTAGGATATTCATAAGATTCGCAATCAGTGCCTGGTATAAACATGGTCTCCCCAAATCCGTGTTTATGCCATTGACAAATGGCGGAAGTCCGCACCTATTTCTGGCCGGATGCACCCTTCAACTGCCCGGGTTCTGGCTCACAGCAGGGCGAAACATGAAGCCAAACACGCCCCTGGTATGCAAATTGGCCGTAACACGCATCCCGCTCTGACACCTAATTCCCAAAACCAGGGCCACTTTCTGCTCACAGACCGGTATGGTATTTGCCTGAGTACAATATTGTATTACATGGCAGCAAGTGCGAGAGCCGACTAGTTTGGGTCACAGCCACCTAGTTGTTCAAACGTGCCGTGCCACTAATATAGCTTTTGTATTGAAATGTGCTGCAGCGTTCATTCTCGACAATTACATCCTGGCTGTTCGGACACCAATACAAACAGCAAAGCCGGGGATAGATCATGCAACTCACGCTGAAGTCTTTTTACAGTAGGGGGCTGCCACAAGTAACGCCAATAAACTGAAAGGGACACATTGGCTGTGTCATGGCGTATCCTTTGGGAGGGTACCTTGTCTGGGTGTATTTAACAGCCGAGCAAGGAATCCAATGACTCTGGTCCCGGGGGCCACGAATTCCATGGGGTCGGGGATTCGCAGCGAGCCGCGGGCAGGATCTGCCTCCTTTGCTTGTTCCACGGCAAGCTGCGCGCTGTGGGCTTCCTTGATGGCTCCCGCATTCCGCACCTGGGATGACATGCGCGCGGGAAAACAGACGCCCCGCATTGCTAGGCAACCCAAAGGGAATCAAGTATTGCAGCATATTGCAGCCCAACCCCCAACCAAGAAAATGGATTGATCCGGACAACTTGGGAGCTTGTTCAAGACTACCCTGGATCACGTTGTCGAAAAATAAACGAGTTGCGCATTGCTGGTACGGGAGTGAGGGAATCACTCCAAACTGAACCATCCCTGGATGCCTCTTCCTTTCCGGATTCCCAAAAAACCCTGTGCATTCGCTATCGAACCAGCAACATTGATTTGGCCAAGGATAAGTACAAGCATGGCACTCCGTTTTCTTGGACCAAAAGGGGCTACACTGAATATCTGATTATGACTCTGTTTCAGCTTTATTCCACCCAGTAAGATTTCGTCCACGCACTCACACACAGACACAGACACAGACACACAGACACACAGACACACAGACACACAGACACACAGAGACACAGAGACACAGAGACACAGAGACACAGAGACACAGAGACACAGAGACACAGAGACACAGAGACACAGACACACACACACACACACAAGTTTCTGCCGCAGTCTGCAACATGTAGGGCACGTCCAAGTCCATGTCTCCCTCCAAGACAGCAGCACTGATACGCTTGTTCCATATTTTTGATTGCAGGGCATCGTTGAGTTCAAGTTTATATACATGTCTTGAGAAGATTTGGGGATGAGAGTATTCACATGAAACTCACCTGCCCGCACTTAGAACAAGTAAGTCTCGGAGTAAGTGCGGAGGGTACTTGCACGTTTCCATGGGGGTTGCTATGGGATTCTTCCCACACGTCTCCGAATCAAAGACAATAGTTCCCTTGTGATTAATGGCCCCGAGCCTCAAACAGCCAAGCGTGAACGCTGACCAAGACACATAAGCGACTGACAAGACTACTGGAAGTCTACTGTTGATTTTGGGATGACAGGAGGGGAAAATTCACACAAACCAGGGGACAGGAAATTGTCCCATACTGATGTGCCTTCTGGAGGGTACCCTTATTGGGGTAGTTTAAAGGGAGACCAACAGAAACCAATCATTGCGGAGACTGCGAAATCTCCCATTGGGGGGGGGGGGGGGTTGGGGGTGGTTTTTAGGTTGTGTCTATCGTCCCACGCGTCCAAACGTTCGCAACACTCATGCCTCGCTCGTCCCTCAGAAAGCCTCCTTTTACGTCTGGGCCAAGGCCTCAAAACATGCTCAACTTCTCGGTTGCTTTCTGCTCCCCTGCTAAAAGTGACTAACTTTTAGTGGTTTAATACGGAAAGCCCCTGAGTTGGCAAATGCTTTCAGTCCTGACATTCCTTGGCAAAATGCACCAAAGACTTCTCGCTCGGGTTTCCCGAAGCTTTCCCCACCAAAAAGCTGAAGAACATATTTTCCGCAGAATCTCATAGTTTAGGTCGGGGAAACTCCAGTAAAAGGAGCTAAAGATCGGGTCGTTGAAAACGAATTTGCGACCAGCGCCTTCTCCTCTTCCCGCATCTTTGAAGCTTCGACCAGCTCCTTGCGCCCTTTGTCCAGCGACTCGTCCAACGCCTACGCAGTGCTCTTTCGTGTTTTGAGTCACTATCTGCTTGCCTGGAACATCCAAGGCCGGCGTCCCAAAAACCAGCAACCAAATGCTTCTGTGCACCAACCTATGTCGAAGCCGGGAGTAAGAACCGCCTTGAGCTGGTAGAAAATGGAATGAAGCTCTGCGTGGTTTTGCTCCACCTGGCTTGCTCGCGCGCTTGGAGCTTCAAAGACACCACTATCCCTTACGTTTGATGGACAAATGTGTTTCCGGAAGGTCCAAGGGGCGGTTCGCTCACAAAGACCAGCCAGGCCAAATCCCTTTTGAAACCAAACCAAATGCTCGGGGCTTGCTCATCTGGCCAAAGTACTCCCCGGCCTTTCGATTCCCAGACCTACATCTAGGTAACGACACGTACATTCAGCATTTTTTGGATTGAAGCAAAAGTCAAGAGAAGCCTATAGAAAGAGACCTGCTCAAAGTGACTTCTTAGCGCTACGGTTTTCTTAGCACTCAGCAGAAAGCCTGAAGGTACTTGTGTTGGTTGACTAGTTCAGGAAAGAAGGGCCAAAAAAGATTTCTTTTGTGGTTGGTGGGTGTGTATATGGCTGTTTGTGGAGTTTCTGGATGTCGTGGACTTGTTTTGCGGCACGTCTGCGGCCCCTAATCCGACCATGCCGGGCGTGCCGTGGAGTGTAGCTCTTGGATCAGAGTGGACTTGGTGTGGCGAGTGTAACTCGGCGAAGCGCGGGGAATCGTTGCTCGGATGTTTTCTGCTCCCCTGCTAAAAGTGAATAACTTTTAGTGGTTTAATACGAAAAACCCGTTAGTTGGCAAAAAGGTTTTCAGTCCTAACATCCAAGCAAAATGTACCAAAGGTTGGAGTTCGAGATGTGCGCTTTTCTTGCTGGTGCGATCGGTAGGGAATGAGGGAATGAACCTGGGGGTCCCCTTAAAGGAAACCGCAAGAAATAGCTTGTAAGGTCATTCCCTGATTCCCTGCTGAGCACCAGCAAGTTGTCTTTGCTTCTTTTGTTTTGCGTCTATCGTGAATGTTGAGTGGTGATCTGCTTTGACCTATCTATTAGTATGTCTCAAAAATAGGAGAGCGAGTGGCGGGCGGTTGTGCTTTTGGCTTCCTATTGAGCCTATTGAGGCCCTGAAAGATCCATTTACGCGTTCAGCTTGCTGGTTCTCAGCAGGGAATGAGGGAAAACCCACGTAAACCATCCCTTGCGGTTTCCTTTGAGTCCCTAGGTTCATGCCCAACAGCCTTGCTCATTCCCTACTGAGCACCAGCAAGTCAGGTTGAGCTCTCACAGACTCGAGCACTCTTCCCTATGCGGACTTATATAAACAACACAAAATATTGAATATGTGTCCAACAAGTCGTAATTAGCATGCTTGTGAAAATCACCCCTGCACAAAGGAAGGTGTCTCAACATCATCTCTCATCAAGGCCAGGTGGTCGGGTCTGCAAACTTGTGACTTGCCAACTTGCGGACTACCGGCTCGTCTTCGTAGATCAGTCGTTCCCAGGCACTCTTAATACATACCGAACCAGAACTCCTTAGGAGGCTTGTTGACAAACCCGATGGTTTAGCTCCGAGACAGCTAGCATTCTCAATTTGGGCATGTGCACAACAAACACCTCCAAGTGGTTGGCTACGTGTTGGTGCCCTTTGAGGTTGGGACCAAACCATCGTTGCGAACATGCAGCAAAACAACCCAAAACCAGAAGAAGAAAAAGGAGAACGTGCACAGCTGTGAAGAGGTAGAGCAAATACCCAAGCAACTTGGGTCCCGAGCTTGTTGACGGACAGCTCTTTGTCACACATCGCCTGCAACGGCTTTCGAACACGCTGCGCTATCAAGTGCTCCGTCTTAGTCTTGATACTGTGGATGGACGAATTCCTGCACCACGTAAGAAACCCTGGAATGATGCTTCCCCTGCAAATAACAACAAACACTGGTTTCCTATGCTTTCTTGGGTTAGTGCAGGATTTTGTGTATCCACAGTATCAACCGGAAAAGACTCTGAAACTTGGTCATCACCAACGTTCGACTGGACTTGAGTATTTACTCTGTTCCTGAAAGGGTCCCAAGCTCAACGAACTCCATGAACCAACCGTCCCAAGCATCGACCCACTAATTCACCGCGCTCCAAGGTAGTCGAAGGCCCAACTCAAAAACCCATCCGTAAAAATATGCACGAGACTGCCCCACTACATACGTCTTTCAGGCCCACCCCCCTCAGGAAGGGCACTGGCACCCAATAAACATGGGCGTAACGTGTTGATTTCTTTTGCCCCACCGTCCCAGCTTTGAACCCCCAAGCAAAACCCGGGGACCTTCTTCTGCACCAGACTGCCCAGCTCTGACTGCAGCTTGGGCAAAAGCTCCTGACACCGAAAATGCATTGCCTTTGGGAACCCCGACGAAACCAAAGATGATAGCGCAATGGGAGGAAAAATCCAGAGAGATAGTGGGAAACCGGAAGCAATTGACTACATGCCACCATGCTTGCACACATCCAACGCGAGTGGCTGGAAGAAACCATGTCCAAAAAAGTATAATGCTGAGACCAATTTCTGAGCTCAAAGAAAAACACGGGGTTTAAACGTTCATTGTTCTTGCGTATTCCTGCTGTTGAAGCCTCTAACTAATTTGTTGGAGCACTTGGCCGCGTGGTTGTGGCTTTTGGCTGGTTGAACATTCGGAAACATACCGTGCTAACGAAGTACCAGCAGAGCAGCATGCATCACGTTGCATATCGGAAAACAATACAGTAACTAGCTGAGCCTGATATTGTCATAGGGTGCCAGATTTAAATCACGCGTATAGTTGCCTGTCCCGGACCCACACAAACCTAGACTTTTTGCTGAAGGATCGTGTTTTGCTCAATCTTCGAGGAATTGGCAAACAATACACTCAGGGCTTTTGCAACCTTCATGAACATTGCCCCATAAAATCTATGGAACCTGCCAATGGCTTTCATATTGCAAAGGCACAAAATGGTTCGTCTTCCGCCTTCAGAACGATTTAGCCCGCTCAAACCTAAATCCGCCGACCCTCTGCCTCCCGTCCCAGCCTCCTGCAGAGGGGACCGGCGTGGGATGCAACTGGAAGTGATTGGAATCAATGATAGTCCCTGGGGGACACGCCCGAACGCACGAAAAGTGGATTTCTAGGACCGGTCCTGGGACTGGTCCCGGCCAGGACCGCTGGACTGAAGACAGTCCCGGGATGGAGTCCTGCCACCTCAAACCGCTCCAGATGCCTTCGTGTTTCAGGCCCGGTCCCTGCCGGCGACCGGTCCAGGGCAACTTCGGGAGGGCCAGTTTCAGGGCGCTCCCGGGCCAACTCGAAGTGACTTGGGCGCAAGCCGGCCCAAGCGGTAATTAACGGACTAGCTGCCATATTTCTGACTTTTCCGTTAATCCTTGTTTGTGGTCGTAGAGGATCTTGGGTTTGCGGACGTGTTTCAGGACCGGTCCTTGTGACTTTTCCCTTAATGCGCCGAGGGTCGGCGGCAGCAGGCGGGAGCCTGGTTATATGTATATATACTCAGTACATTCGGTGTATTCAATGTATATACCCGCGCCCAACCCGTTCTATGACAAGTACATACTAGTTTAAGACCCTCAAACAGCCGAGCTTGTGCAAAATCCAGGGTGCCCCGTCCTCGATCATCCGAATGAGATAGTGGAGAGGATCAGAAGGGCCTTGAAGCGCCCTGTCAGCCTCAGGGGTCATCGCACAAGCAGCGATCGTCATGACACGTGATGGGCAAAGCTGAGACTCGCGGCATTGGCTATATGGGCGGTATGTAAGGAGTATGCAAGTGGGACAAATAACGGAATTAAGGGTCCATTTACAAGGACCCGATAGATTTTGCCTAGACGACTTCATACCTGCATGCCTGGCTAGCGAGTCTACAGATTGTAATGTGGACCTGGTTCTCGTGGAGCAATCCTTTTCTTTGCAGAAAAGGTCTTGTCCAGGAAGCATGGCTGAGGGCGCTGCTAAGAGCACAAGCTCTTTGCTGCCGATCTCGTCTGCTCTTCGCTTCAGCAATGATGCGGCACGACGAAAGACCTGCGAGTGGCCATCGGGAAGGTCTTGTTTCAACTGTCCCAATTTGGATGGTCAACCCACCTAGTAACTAAGCTGGTTGCAACCATGGCTTTAAGGTGACTAGCCCCAGTTGCCCCAACTAGAGTAATGGTTGTAACCTACTTACTTGACACGGGATGAACAAACGCGTATTCCCCCGAAGCTCTATCTCTCGACCGTGGCATCCCAGTTCCGCTTCGGCGAGCATTGCTGTTCAGAGGAATGATGCCATGCCCCAAAGGAGTGAACATACAACTATTGACTTCAGGTGTCGCTGTCCTTGCTTTCCGCCAAAACAGACCGCTGCTGGACGTGTATATCTTGCACAACAAACTTGCATGATTCAGGTGCATTCTCTTGCAACACACACGATGATCCGGGCGCATTCATGCAGATCTGGCCTCTACATGCCTCCTGCTGTGGACTTGTGCCAAAGACGTACCCTTGGCAAAGCCTCGCTTCACACGAGCAAGCGGCGAGTCAAGCCGCTAGAAGACACCAGAAGCCGTACAAATTAATGAGCACAACCGCTCCAAGGTGGCAGTAGCAGCAAATTTCTGTGCATGGGTCGCTCTGTTAATTGAGCCCAAAAGGTTCTACGACGAACCAACCGGATGAATCAGGTACAAACAACAAACGGAACTAAGATCTAGAGACCCTTGCTGCCAAACTTCCATTTGCTAAAGTCCACTGGCAAAAAAGAACACCTGTGTCCAGCAGTGATAGCTTCCCTTTTAAACACATTTCAGCAAATGGAAGCCACGGGGGTCACCAAGCGGGCGGTTGTCTTTCAGGGCTTGTCTTGGGGTGATGTGGACGGCGTTTGGCGGCCTCGGGCCTGGAAAAATCACTCAATTGAGCGCCCAAAAAACCTTGAAACATGTTGGGTTCCATTGACATGGCGAATACGGTTCATATTTCCACGTTTTACTATTACCCCCGAATTAAATCATAAAACCAGCTGCTCCAATGGCCCTTTTGGGATTTTGGGCATTGGTCCGTTGAGTTGTAATACACACCATCCAAAGATACAAGCAAAAGCAACAACACTCGGTTGCTTTCTGCTCCCCTGCTAGCTTAACTGTTAGTGGTGTAATGCCCATGAGTTGGAAAAATGTTAGAGTCCTAACATCCCTTGGCAAAATGCACCAAAGAACAGCCAGATGCGAACATGTGAAGCAAACCCTGCTCCATTGCCCTCAGTTTCCTGTGGCCGCCGGCTGACCATTGATGCCTGGGCGCTGCTCACCTGCGCCGAGTCGCCGAGCTCGACTTTGAGTCTCGGCCAAAGCTGTGAGCCCGCCCAAAATGCTTCTTTGGGCCCCCTGCGGAAAAAAGAAGAAACAAAAACAGAAGAAGAAAAAAACGGGCCACGTGACCAACGCGCGTCGCGAAAAAATGGCATGACAGCTGCCTGCGTCCCTGCTCTCCCTGCTTGGATAAGCAAGCACGGCATTTTGTGCTGTCGCGGGCCCGCAGGAGCCCATGCGCGCAACGATGTCGATGCCCGAGGCACGATAAAACTCCCCTACAAATGAACATGACACCCGGAAAGCCGCCCTTAGAGGAAGCTCCTTTTGGGGAAGCCCCCCATTGGACCTACCAAAAGGACCCCCAAGCCGTTGAATTGCAGGGGAGTAAATAAGAGACTCTGCCCGACTCCGAGCTCAGCGGACTGGTGAGCTTCGCTTTGAGCTCAATGTCGTCGTCGCGCCTGTCAGATCTGGCTCGAGGCTGGGGTTCCCCCAAGAGAAGTATCCAAAAGTGAAGATTCCCCACGAAACTCAGGGGAACCAGCAGGAAACAGCATGTTGACCCCATATGAATCAACCATGGTTTATTACTAGGGCGGTTTCCCTGAGTGAAATGTGGGGAATCACACCACTTTTGGAGGGGCCTAAAACATCCCCCCTTCTTAATAAACTGGGGTTGATTGATATGGAGAAAACATTATCCGCCACGTGACACAACTCTGTGGGCATCGCCTGGCGGACATACTCCCAAACCACGATGGAGCCACTGACGTGGACCTTGCGAGCAAGCCGCCAGCACCAGCACTTTGAATCCAATCGGTTTACACTGGATTGATGTGCTTTCCCGATTCTTTCCAGCGAGCGCAATGGGCTTCCAGCAAGAATTGGTATCAGAGATTGAAGCACATGTCAGAGAGTAGCTTACACTTAGAGACGAATTGGAGCAAAACAAAGCGAGTAAGAAGAGGGACAGGTGTTGAACACTTCTCACCAAGCAACGCAACTCAACATCCGGATGGAACTCGCATGAGTCGAGAGTCCACCAGTTTGAGAAACACTTTGGGGTTCCAACAATGTAGGCATCTTGGTTGCAAAAGCAGCCAAACCCAAAGAAGCCGTTGGAAATGCACACGGGATCCTGAACAAGCCTGCAAATGGATGCTATGCACAAGGATAGAGAGCTCTCGCAATACTTTGTGCAAAGGAAACTCCAGCGACTTGGGTATGGCTCAAAATTAAAGAGCTGGGGTTACACAGGTTTTGCTACATTGATTTGAGCCACAGCCACATGGCCCAAGTGATCCAACTGACCCACAGCCCAAGTGGCCCAGTGACCCAAAGTACCCTCCGGAAAAACTTCCCATGCAACTCCTCTGGGAAAAACACACACGAACTTTCCAGACAAACTCATGCTGGATGGAAGCCAAACAAGCCTCAATTTTCGGGCTGCCCGATCACCCGCGAAAAGCTTAACGTTTAGTGGGTTAAATGGAAGCTCAACCACTAAACCAACTAAAAAGCTAAAAAGCTGAGGAACCGGATGGCTGGGAGACACCAAGGCTTGGAGGAATCCATTTGAGTGACAATCAAAACCGATCGGAATTAAATTGGTCAACCCAGAACCATGATTCAAGAATTAAGAAGGCGGAATCCCGCAACTATTTATGGTTGGGACTGTCCCGTACTAACCTTCACTTACCCGGGTTTTGACTGTGACTCATTTGGTCATGGGTCAAAATTCTGCAGTGAACATCCCAATCCCCACTAAATAAATGGGTTCTAAAATGGGTGGTGAATTCACCTACCAACGAAAATGGGATTCCAAAACGGTTTTGACCACAGCCATTTGAAGCCACCCCATCTTCGCCTCACCCCCCGAGTCTGCTCGCTGTTTGGGCCCCCCCGCATTCAGCGACCGGAGCTGGCCCTGCTGCGGAATCTCCACGCAGCCGTCCAGCAACGGCAGCAGCTCCGCGTCGATGCCCTCCTTCTCTGCGCCTGAATGCCGTCTCTCAACATGGCACCTGACAGGGACCCGGTCCCTCCAAGAGGAAACTGATCTTCCAGGTACTCTCCCACAGGTGCCATGTTAGTGGGAGTAAGGCTAATCCTAATCCAAACCTTTAGAGGCCGAGGATTGCTCTTCTCCAGGGGTTGATTCCTTTTCCATTCTTTTCAAACCATCGTTCTTTTCAGAAATCAGAAATCAGATCCGTTTTCCCAGGGGTTTTGGTGGTTTTCTAGAAAGAGGGATCCCTGGAAAGAACTCCCAGGTTTTGAGTAGGACTACCGTCTCTCCCACTAACATGGCACCTGACAGGGACCCGGTCCCTCCAAGAGCAAACTGATCTTCTAGGTACCCTACAGGTGCCATGTTAGTGGGAGTAAGGCTCGTCCTAATCCAAACCTGGGATTCAATTGAAGCGGATGATTCACTCGCTTGCGAAATCTGCTCCCCTGCTAAAAGTGAATAACTTTTAGTGGTTTATTTTTTAGTGGTTTAATACGGTGGTTTATTTTTTAGTGGTTTAATACGGAAAACCCATTAGCTAGCAAAAAGTTAAAGTCCTAACATCCAAGCAAAAAAGGATCTTTCTAGGGTTTGATTCCCCACTCTTTTCAACCATCGTTTTTCAGAAACCAGATCAGATTTTCCAGGGTTTTGGGTGGTCTTCTAGAAAGATCCGGATCTTTCTGAAAGAATGGGGAGGCTGCCCTTTGAAAGGCCCGAGGATTAGCAGGGGTCACCCCGAAAGTGAAGGTCCCCACTTTCAAGTCTTCAACTGGGACCCCTTAAAATGAGGGATAACCAATAACCTGGGACTTTTCAGAACTGTCAACATGTAAAGAATAAAAAGGACATGGGATTCTCCTCTAATATCCTCGACTTGCCCGGGGAAAACCTGCTTCACGAACTGTAAAAAAGCCGTAAATCCACACCCATTCACGGATTTCCCTTTACACCCTTCACTTGCACGCGGATTGACTGTGCCTCAGTTAGTAGGCAGGTGATCTCACTATGGGGTGAGTTCCTTATAGCCATGGCGACAACCTATTTGCTGACTGGCCTATCATCCCAGCGGGGATCATTGAGCTTATTCAGGCGGTGGCCTCTACGATTTCCGGGGGTTGTCCAGCATTTTTAAAGGTATTCAGCCTGGGCTGGTGGTCTTTCCCTACCTTTGATGCTTCATAGATAACTGTCCAAGTTTCAGGTGATGAATGCGAATGCCCCAGCACTTGCAATATGCTGCAATTACCAGGGTCCACAAGCTGCTCCCAAGCACCAGATCCTTCCAACAGCGCCTTGCTTCTTGCAAACAAGGATTCACATGCCCAAAGGGCCCAAAAACACGGGCGAACCCACTGCGAAAGAATGCAAAGACACCATTTTGTCGCAACAAAAACGACTGGGGCTCCAAAAGGCGGCGTCTCGCGTGGCTCCAAATTGAACCACCCCGCCTAGCAAGATCGCCGTGTGCTCCGTAAATTCCCACCTAAGCTCTTGCTGAGAGGCTCCAAATGGAAATAGGACCTTTTTCCATTCATACTGACTGACTTGACTTCGCCCAAATTCCTGGCGCACGATTGAACCCGGAGAAAAGGCCTCAAGCGTCCAATTCCTCGCCTTTTGTGTCACGGATAGAGCTTCCTGATGGCCAGTAGGGCATACTGCATACTGCGGCAACTATTTGCGACCAACACCGCCTGCTACCTGCTACCTCTAGCCGCTCATGCATGGGAAGCGTTGTTCAGCAATTTGCAAAAAAAAACACATCCAGCAGGCAATATACAGAATCTGCTGGCAATGAATATCAGTGATTCAGCTATGTGTATATATATATGCATATGTATGTATACTACTACTACTACTACTACTACTACTACTACTACTACTACTACTACTACTACTACTACTACTACTACTACTACTACTACTACTGCTACTACTACTACTACTACGACTACTACTACTACTACTACTACTACTACTACTACTACTACTACTACTACTACTACTACTACTACTACTACTACTACTACTACTACTACTACTACTACTACTACTACTACTACTACTACTACTACTACTACTACTACTACTACTACTACTACTACTACTACTACTACTACTACTACTACTACTACTACTACTACTACTACTACTACTACTACTACTACTACTACTACTACTACTACTACTACTACTACTACTACTACTAACTACTACTACTACTGCTACTGCTACTACTCCATTTCTCAGATGTTCAAAGGTTCAGACCAACAAATGATAGGAAAGCAGGCAATTGTGCTGTGTCTGCTCAAATAGCACACCATACCAGCACAGAATTCACGGAGTCCCACCTTTCCAAGTGTCTGAATCGGCAGGACCATGTATGACCGCAACGCCCCAAGCAAACAAACAGAGTACAGCGAAATGCATGCCATGGAATTCGACTGCACGTGGTCAGGCAGGTGGAAAACTGTACAATGCGTCCCACACAGCCTGCAAACAAACAAACGCTTGGCAGAGTGGTCAGGGCAAGGCGTGCGTCCGGCATCTCTTCACAACCAAAAGCTGTCGGAGGTATCTCCCTGCAACCAAATGATCGTCCTCCCAAAGAGATCCCAAAGATCAACTAGCAAGAATGTTTATCAGTTGAGGCATTTGAGGATGTGTATCATTCAGACAATGCTACCTTCTTTCTGCGCAATTGCTGGTCGGCTTAGCCAAGAAAGCCAGACATGATTCCAAGCTTGACAATCAAATTCTGAAAAGGCGGTAGTCTTCCAGAATTGGTATGGTACACCCCAGCGCATCAAGGCAGTGCAACATGCGTGCAAGGTCGGAACCGTGTTGGGACGCAACGCATTCACAAGGTCCAAGCAAGTCCGCACATAAGAAAACCACATGGGCGCAAATTGGTTTCCCCAAAGGAGACAAATATGTAAACAGGGCTCCTCATTATTATAAGCACTCATACTTACGAGTGCAATTCCCCATGGGGACGGAAGAGATAACCTGGCACTTGATCGCTTTTTGTTGCGCCCATATTGTTGATTAGACTAATTTGGTGGCTGCATTCAACAATGTCTGTTTTTCTGAAAACCACATGTTGTACTGCTTTGCTGTATCTGCATCAGATCAACCAGAAAGCCCAGTACTGTGTCTTTGTTGAATTCTGGCTGATGGCATCTATAAGAGCACCCGGGCTCAAGAAACTCACAACTTAAAAGCCAAACCCACATCATGTTGTAGCCAGCTACTTCAAATGTATCATGCATGTCAAGGCCTAGGAGACAAGGCTGCATCAACTTATCTGTCGAAGCGTACCCATGCAAATACCATGAACATATTGAAGCCCTCAGGGTGTACCATCAATATCCATCAATGACATGCTCTTGAGCAAATTCCGGAAAGGGCGTCGGATTGCCACTGCCTTCTTGCTTGCAAAACAAGTCTTCCGTAGTCTTGCTCTCCGAGTGGATTGGCTCAGCGCTATATCCCAAAAGCTTAGCTTCAAACTCCAGAAACTCGGGGAGTGATTTGTTCCGACTATGGAATCTGATAGCAGTTCGTTCTGATAGCCCGTCGAATGGGCACCTGGGTTGGGCCAATTCTAGTTTGGTTGCCTACTGGGAGAACCGATCTCTACCTAGCGCCCATTTGGACAATTCAACTGGGACAATGGCTTTTGTCACAATCGGGGTGTCCATGTGCTCACTGCTTGTCTCCAAATGAGGAAACCCCTGAATGATTTGTTTCTCTTCGGTTTCCTCGCCCCCAAAAAGGGTGCCCTCAAACAAACACGTTTCTTTAAACCAATTTGCCAACAACCCTGAGAGCATATCTGTGCACCCAAGGCGCTGATCCAGTGGCACAGAAGTGTGAGTCTGCTCCACTCCCAGCAGTGTGTACCCCCTGTGCCGCAGCTCCAGCAACTGCGCCCTCAAGTCCTTCCGTGGCACCTCAAGGCACAGTGCAGAGGGGGCGGTGCATGCGCCTCGAGACTCTGGTCCCAGGTGTTTTGAAACAAATCATCGCAATGAAACCAGCGATTTGGGGGACAGCATGCTACACGAAAACGGGCAACGAAGAAACTTGGGAGTCCCAATTACAACGCCAGCGAAGACAACAACACGACAACAACACTAGAGACACACACAAAGTCAAGGACACAAGGAACAAAGACATCAACATCAACATCACCACTCTCATCAACATCACCACTCCCGTCAATACCACTCCCGTCAATACCGCCACAACCACCACCATCACCACCACAAACATTACTACACAACAACGACTACCTTAGCAGCCTTAGCCACAGCAACAACCGCGCACCAACAACCAACCAAAAACAATCAAACACTACCCACCACAGCCAAGCGCCAAGCACCAAGAACCAAGCACCAAGAACCAAGCACCAAGAACCAAGCACCAAGAACCAAGCACCAAACACAACCCCATCGACCCACCTACCCACCCGCCTTTCCGCAAAGCCACCCATCCCCCCACAACTCACCGACAAATCAACCCACAGACCCATCCACCCACCAACCCCTCTTCCCCACATGAACTGTTCAAAGTGGGAATTTCTAAACAAGCCAGCAATTCTTCAACAAAAGCAAACTACTGCCAAAGAACCCTGCCAAGAAAGACAGAGACAATTTCCCTGGGAAGGCCCTGCTGCCGAGTCACTCCACGAAGTGGCAACCACTTCTCAGCCGTGACGGAAATGGACTGGAAAGCTTGCTCTGAGGTGACCTGATGACTCAGTCACAAAGTCCAAGGGGCCAGGAAACTGATCGCAAAGCTTGGTTTATCACCAGCCTTGAAACTGCCCCATACAAACCCTGAATCTGATGGTGTTTGTTGTTGAGTTTTGTTTTGCACCCGCTCGGTCCCGACTGCACAGTGTGCAAGTTCCAATTGTCCATGCTTTCCTTGACCAAGCTGATGCGCGGCATGCCACGAGCTGAGCCTGCCAGGATTTCCTGACCCCATCTCAATTCAGCGCAAAACCAACACCAAGCCCCACCCAAAACGCAAATCAAAGCCCGACACCACCCTGACCCCGAACCCACCCACTTGGAAAACAGCTCAATCTTCCGCAAGCGTCCAGAAACACCAACCAACTAACCAACCAACCAAGCAAGCAACCAACCAAGCAACCAAGCAACCAAGCAACCAAGCAACCAACCACCCAACCAAGCAACCAAGCAACCAACCAACCAACCAACCAACCAACCAACCAACCAACCAACCAACCAACCAACCAACCAACCAACCAAGAAACCCACCAACCAACCAACCAACTAGCCAACAAACCAACCCAGCAACCAACCAACCAACCAACCAAGCAAGCAAGCAACCAACCAAGCAACCAACCAAGCAACCAAGCAACCAAGCAACCAAGCAACCAACCAACCAACCAACCAACCAACCAACCAACCAACCAACCAACCAACCAACCAAGCAACCAAGCAACCAAGCAACCAAGCAACCGACCACCTAAGCAACCAACCAACCAACCAACCAAGCAACCAAGCAACCAAGCAACCAAGCAACCGACCACCTAAGCAACCAAGCAACCAAGCAACCAAGCAACCAAGCAACCAAGCAACCAACCAACCAACCAACCAAGCAACCACCCAACTAAGCAACCAACCAACCAACCAAGCAACCAACCCACCAACCAAGCAACCACCCTACTAAGCAACCACCCGACTAAGCAACCAACCAAGCAACCAAGCAACCAAGCAACCAAGCAACCAAGCAAGCAACCAAGCAACCAAGCAACCAAGCAACCAAGCAACCAAGCAACCAAGCAACCAAGCAACCAAGCAACCAAGCAACCAAGCAACCAAGCAACCAAGCAACCAAGCAACCAAGCAACCAAGCAACCAAGCAACCAAGCAACCAAGCAACCAACCAACCAACCAACCAACCAACCAACCAACCAACCAACCAACCAACCAACCAAGCAACCGAACCTAAGCAACCAAGCAACCAAGCAACCAATCATATGCCTAGTCTACCCCTCTCTTGGTGGTGACCGGAGCTTCAGCTAGACTCGCGGCCAGCAGTGAACAGGTGGAAGAGCAGTTGCAATAGGCCTATGCCTTCTTCCGAAGGCAGGCTGCAATATATAGCTATACGTATATATATATATATCTATCTATATAGTAAGTGAGTAAGTAACCCTGGTCATGTCACCCATTTAGCCCCGTTGAAAGTATCCTGAGCGGTAATAACCAGGGAAATTAAGCCCTTGCCCAGTTGACTGCCCCTGAAGGTGGCGCTTTAAACTCCCTAAATATGTGTTGCGTAGTCAAAAAGCTCGCTCCTCTTCAGTTGTCAGACTATAGAATCATCCCCAATCCGCACTGACATGTCTACCTAAGTGGTGTCAGTTGTTGGCCTCCCCCCCTGACAATTGGACCCACATTAAACCAGCAAGTGTTGCAGTTGCCAGGGCTGCCTTGGCTAAAGCTCACTTAAGCTTCATTCAGCTGCATCAGTCAAAAATGCGTCAGGCCCGTTTGCGCTAAACTAAGCATACCAGGCCAAGCACAGTTGTGCTTAAATCAGCTGACACTAGAAACTTTCGCCATCACCCTTACATTTGGGCGACAAGCCTGTCTTATCTCAGAGGGGGCCAGGAAACCAACCGGAGAGAGTAGTTGCCAAGGTGAGGTTCATGTGCCCCTTACCCTACAAGGGTGCTTCACCCAGTCTTTCGTTTGGGCTTTTGCTTATGCAACCCATCTTGCTTTGCGTGGCTTAAGGGGGGCCGCACCTCGCATACCCCCCGCCTTCAGGTTGGGCAAACACAAAGCTTCGCAGTGGAAGACTTCGCAGGTTCGGCAGAGGCCGGCGAGATTGGGGATCTTGTCCACCTCACACGACGATGTGCGTGTCGCATTTGAGCATTGTTTTTGTTTAGAGGTTCAGGGCTTATACACTGCTGGGGAGGCTACGCGGGGGGCTTCGCGGGGCCAGAATTTGTGGAAGGGTTGGCTTCGCGAGGCTTCGCGGCAAGACTGTGGCTTCGCGGAGTGGCTTCGCCGGGCTTCGCGGATGTTTGTTCCACAAACCTCGCGCCCCCATGTTGTTGAATCAAGCTGAGTCCATGCGAAAGGGGGTGATGAAAGGCAGCAAGAGAGGCATTGAGCTTCAGGACTAGGGGATATGGCTGGGCCTCAAAGGGGCGGAGCATGGAAGTTGGACCGCGGTGGCTTTGCGGTGGCTTCGCGGAGGCTTCGCGGGGGCTTCGCGGGGGCTTCGCAGAGGCTTCGCGAAAACGTTCCACCGTTTCTAGCCTGAAACGCACAATGCTCTTCCCGTAATCTTCCTGTACTCTTGTCGTAGCCTGCTCACTCTAAACATCAACCTTTGGAATACTACTGCCATGAAAGCGCACAACACACTTGCCATGAAAGCACGCAATACACTCAAACCACGGAGTGGCTTCGCGAAGTGGCTTCGCCTGTGTCAATGTTGCCGGGCTACGCGAAGTGGCTTCGCGGGGCTTCGCGGTACACAATGTATCGCACAAGTGCCTTCGCGGAGCTTTTGGGAGTTCCCCACGAAGCTAAAATCCATCATCTGAGAAAAAAACGCTGCTCATTTGTGGGTTGGACCCCCCAAAAATGGCGCAACGGTGTTCCTTTCAGTGTGCTTTCAAAACCCACCAAAGAAAGGTATCAACAAAAAGACACGGCTATCTTACCACAATGCAACGATAGCCCCACCCGGGCCGACCAACGCTCTGGTATTGTGGTCCGGTGATATCGGAAAACATGTCAAAGCTAGCCCCCCCCCCGACTCCCCCCCGCCCTTTCCCAGTCATTGGCCCCAGATTTTGCAATTTGAAAACACGAGTACGAGGTTTGCGGTCATGTCCCAAAAGTACCCGCACTGTCTCTCAATCGCCATTCTCTCGCAAGCAAGCCTATTGAAAACAGTCCTTTCTGGATCAAAGCTCAATCCAGGCCATGTGTTACAGTCGCTGTTGCATGTCTTCCAAAAAAGATTCGCTGCGCTCTGCTTAAGCCCTTTTCCAACTTAGCGCTTGGTGAACCAAAAAGCCTTTGGGGTTTTAAACCAATTAGACCCCGTATTGCTTCGCTGAGGGACTCCAACATCCATCGTTCGGTTGCGCGTTGCAACCAAAACGCACTGTCCATAGGGGGCGCAGAGTTGCCACGCCTCCACCCTTTGCTTCCTCCATGTGGTTTGTGGGAGGCGGATTTCCTTCTGTGAATGGACCAAATCCTGCACCAAAGAACCCCTGGAAGAATGACTCCCCTGTAAATACCAACAAACAATGGTTTCCATGGTTTCAAAGTGGTGCAGGATTCGTCCATCCACAGTAGCTTTCCTCTTTGCCCAGCTGCCATCGAAGAAAGTGGGGGGGGAGAACGGTTTTTGTTGCTGTTCGGCTCGCCCCCCCAAAATAAATAAAGCATGCTGCCACTGGACAACCTAAGTTCATGTTTCGAGCCAACATCCATGCAAGATCATTTTGCGTCGACAAAATCAAAGTAAAAATCCAACCTTCTATGTTCAGAACATCCGCGTACTGCTATCCAGCCTGCACTTAGAACATCGCACTGTCAATCAGCGCAGGGAAGGAAAGTGCATCTGCTTTCAGAAGTCGGACAAGAAACGCATTGTGATACCATGTGATACCATAAGCGGGCAAAATCCTGCACCAGCCACATGGTTTATCCCAGTCTTCGGGCTTCCATCACAACTGGCGCAGGATTTCTTCTTCAGTTTGCTTGCTACTCGACCGGAAATCGAAGGCCGGAGCCTAATGCCACTGAGCCAACCGGCTTGAAGAGATCGAGACGAATGCCGACGTTAGCAGCAGGAATGCGGGGTTGATCCACATGTTCATTCACTGAGCAGGGTCTCCCAAGGTTGCCCGAAAGGTGGTCTCTCCAGCCGTGTGTGTGTGTTCTTTTACCCTTTTCCGCTCGGTTTCAAGGGAAGCCAGAGGAAAAACGACGCTTGTCGGATCCCCGACTGCTGTCCCATGCCCATTTTGCCCCAGCTGCCAGGGAAGCAATGACCACCAACGGTGCACGCTGGGCAGCAGGGCCCACTGCACCTGTGACGAAGCTCAGGTGAATGATATCTTGAGGGATGAAGCTGACTATGCTCAGAAAAGTCGGAACGCGTCGATGCGCAAAGGATCCCTATATTTCCCCTTATGACATCACCTCTACAAGCACCAAAGGATACCAAAGGAAACTCACCTAAAAGGTGATGTTTAAAACCACAAAGGGAAGGACATATATGGAAAGTGCACGTCAAACACTGACAAGTCGTTGAAACCAAATATTTTTCACTCGACTGCTCGGATGAAATGCTTGCTTGCCCTTCCAGAGGGGTTTCACCCCACAACAGGCGTTGCGTCAAAGCAGGTTGCATACTCCAGAAGGACCGACCCCAGCAATAGGCCATAAAAATGTGGCTGTACGCTCAGAAATAGGCACATCTCCAAAACTGATGGTCACTCTCGTTTTCCTTCAAAACTACGCCAAGCGGGTCCCTCAAGACAAGAAGGCACAGTGTGCGGGATATCTGTTTTTCCTATGGGCATGCAGCTCCAAGCTTGGAGGTCAGAAAACCTAGGAACCAAAATGAGCACGATCACGTGGGTCGGAGCAGGAACACCTACCTATGGCTTGGTGCCGGTTCGTAACATGGCCGAAAGAATCTTGACTTTTGTGGGAAAAGCGGCTAGGCTCGGAATCCTTTGGGCTTCCTTGTGCACCAGAATAAGAACCGCCCGGCAAACTTTACAATGATTCGCCACAACCTAGAGCACGAATTGGATCCTGAATCCCGGCACAAAGGACCTTCATGGCTTGTGAGTTTTCGGGTTTCCTCGTTATTTCCGCTCTTTTCCGTTCAAATAGCGCCAAGAAATGCAAAAACAGAAAGGTTCACAAATATATCGCCCCTATAAACATCACCTATTTAGAGCAAGCCCCTTTTACATTGGCGCCCAAAGGAAGACATATCCATGGTCAGTCCCCATGGCTTTAAACAGGGTTTTCCCATTCACTGCCTAATGTTGACCCCATATTCATAAACCAGGTGTCCCCGGAAGACATGTCGGGAATCAGACCACTTTTGGAGGGGAACACCCCACACCCCCTATTAATAAACTGGTTGGTTGATTAATCTGGGGTCAACATTAACCTTCCAAACATAAACATGGGGGACAAAAAACAGGCTTGCCCGTTCACTACCTGTCTACCTTAGCGTCCTCCAGATATCGCCCGTCCAAAAAACCGCGCGCCTTGCAGCCGCGGCGGGGCCGGCGGCACGAACTTCCGTTGCCTCGATGGCGTCATGGCGGGATTGCCAAGCCAGTGGTTCGACTTTGCAAGATAAGCACATTATACAAATCAAAACTTTGGGCCTAGTGGGGAATGTACATGTAGTTATATACATATTATACATATCTGGGAGTGGTCCCATATGATTTTGCCCGGGATGGGGTCCTTGGGCCGCCCTTGCGCGGCACTTGCGCGCTCAGCAGCACAGAAACTAGTTTGCGCGCGACCTCTGTGTGAGAAGTTGTCGGATGTTTGGCAGTCGAATTGGTATTCAGGGCTCAGCGCATTCATGCCTGAGGTGTATGTCATTGCAAGGAAGCTCTTCTAAGCAGTGTCTTTGTTGTTCACGCACCGACCAGAGATAAACCCGAGGCTTCCAAACTGTTGTTTTCTTGTTTTTGATTCCTGGGGTTGGGGAGATCAAAAACCCAACAAAAGCAAAGAACGGAGACGAATCAAGACAGGACACTATTGGCACACATGATCCGCAGCATGCGCCTCCAAACTGGTTGCTGGTCTCTCGTGTTTATCTTAGACATTCATGGCTGTCTTTGATGCATCCAGTTGGAAAGAACATCCTGTGCACAGTATAATTTAAAGCAGAATACAAACTCTGATATAACATAGAAATTGTGTTTGGATTATTTCCGTATCAAACTCTGTTTCAACTCTAGCTGGATTGTACAGTTCTATTGGGAAAGGAATTCTATCTAAACTCTATGTTTAAGATACACATCCACCAGGATTCTGGTCAAGTAATTCTTATTGAGTCCCATCTAAATCCTATTCCAACTCAAATTGAATTTTAGGGAGCGGACAAAACGCTACAAAACACTTAGTTTTTTGGTTTTACGGCGTTTTCTGAACACACTATTTGAAACCTCTGAACTCGTTCTTTATGAATCCTACTTAATGTATTCATTGTAGTATACTCAATTCCGGCTCTAATCCGAATTTCAATTTTAAATCATGCATATTCTATGTCAAATTAAATGTTACGCCGGGCTTCGTCTCAAATACAATTGTCTTCGCAAATCAGTAACCATTTAAACGCAACTTGTTCAACAATTGTGGGAGCGCTGAATTCTACTTAATATGTTGATCAACTTATATGGATTTCTAACTAAAAGAAAACATAATTGAATAAGGAAAGGCTGCAAACAGAGTCATTTTTAGTTGAACATATAATTCTATTTCAACCTAATGTTTCACTGGATTTCGAATTGACTGTTCTTTGCGAACTAGTAAACATTTAAACAAAATTTGTTCAACACATTTGGAACCTCTGAGTTCTTTCGCTATGAATTCTACTTAATGTAGTTGTCAAGTTCTGCTTCATGTCCAACTGAAATTAAGAATAATTTAAGAAGGAAAGACTCCAATCAGAGGAAACCCTCTCCAGCTTACTGTACTAGGGCTTGATGATCAATATCTTTGAGAACTCCCAAATTCGAATGTGTTGGCTCGAGCATTTGGCTTTCAACACTCTTTTCAATGTAAGACGCTGATCATGTGCTGGCCTTGGTTGGAGTACCGTTGCTTGGTCTGTGCACAACGCTGCTGAGGGAGATCAATGCTCTGCCAGCACTTCAGTCGATCTGTGCACACGAAGACAAACAATCTTGTTTATTGCTCTTGTTTAATCAAACAACACTTCAAAAACACTAAAGAACCTTCAAAAAACACAGCCCCACGGCGTACCGCTCTCAATTCTAAGCCCTAAACTCAAGCCCTAAGCCCAACAGGTTGTATGGGGCGGAACGCATGGATTGGGGTCATCTTTTGGGCGAATTCTGAAAGGGGACCAGGGGTGTATGACTCCGGGGGCTGAAAAGGAAAATGGTCTTCCAGGAACCCAGGTGCCATGCGAGGGCTGATCAAAAGACCCTTTACAACGGATGACCATTGGTTGGAAAGCCGCTACAAAGATGATATGTACCACATGGGGAAAGTTATCCATTGTCATGGCCCAACCCCCATGTGTATGGTTGGAAGGGTAATGTGGACCCCATATTCATCAAGCCCAGTGTATTAATACGGGGTGTGTCCCAAAAGTGATGATTCCCCACCAAACCCCGCAACACACACACCCTATTCATACCTGGACTTGTTGTGGTCTCCACGGCCAGGTCTTATACTGTCCGAGTAGCATTACGCCACTCCATACCATCACCTACCCCCATATTCATAACCTGGGGTTGATTACCATGGGGTCAACATGAAGTGGGTTGAACCCGCAGGGCGCTTCGCCAAGAGGCAGGCCGGAAACGCCGCCTGCAGCATCCACGCGTGCGGGCTCCGGCTCCTCCCCTGTGCAGACGAATTCACCCCCAAACCCCAACCCGTGTTTCCCAATGAAACCTCATGAAACAAAACTTGGTTGCGTTTTGCTCCCCTGCTAAAAGTTTAACTTTTAGTAGTTTAATGGAAACCTCATTAGTTGGCAAAAAGTAAAAGTCCTAACATCCAAGCAAAATGCACCAAAGAAAATAGGGGAGGGGTTCGCTGAGAGGGGCAGCTTGAACCTGATGAATCTGTGGGATTATGTTGGACGCTGAGAGAGCTCCATGTGAGCCACGGCGAATATTCAGCCCGCGCCTGGGGCAAAGAAAGCATCGCATTTAGTATTAAGTAGCAACTTGACAAAAGGGTGCACATGCGATGCTGGAAACTACAGTAGACGGTGAGTGGTTGGAGCAAGCTAACAAGGCGCACAGTCAAAAGGTATGAACTTTGAGTGGGTACCCTCTGGACGAGGGTCGGGTACCTGATTCGTCCAGCTCAATCCGAAGCCCACATGGCCATGAAAATTTACTGTGAACCCATCTCGGTTGCTTTCTGCTCCCCTGCTAAAAGTTTAACTTTTTGTGGTTTAATGGAAAACCCATTAGTTGGCAAAAAGTTAAAGTCCTAACATCCAAGCAAAATGCACCTCTGCTATGAAGCCCCCAAAAGCGGTTGGTCGATCTTTTCAGGGGAGCCCACAAATGGCTTCGTTCTTTTCTGTTGGCTTCCATTTACCACAAATGAGGTTGGTACCAAGACACACCCACGTAAATCCGCGGCAAAAGGATGTCCACCAAAGGGTCCCCGGTTCAAACCGGCCGGAAGCTCCCGTTGGCCTGGGGCAAGCTGCACTCGGAGAGCCGCCATCTGAGCCTCCTGCGAAAGAACCGAACCCGGAAGCCAAGAAAAAATCCAACTGAAACCCGAAGGACCCCAAAGCAACCCTCCAGAAACCCACAAGAAACCCACAAGAACCCAACGGACCCCAAAGCAACCCACAAGGACCCAAAGGAAGCCAAAGGAACCCAAAGGGATGCAAAGGAAGCCAAAGGAATTTCATTCGGAACCCAAAGGGAACCCAAACCTAAAGGAAGCCAAAGGACTTCAAAAACACATACCCCCAAAAGAAAGGTCTGACCATGCGGGCGAGGCCCTTTCTAGAAAGGATTCCTTCCAAACCCCCGTGGCCCTCTCTGACTAACCGGGGCAAAAAAAAAGAGGGGTCAACATGACCATGTGGAGGGAACATCACACGCACTCTGCGATGCCACGGGCAACTTCCATGTCCACTTCGCTTTGAACGGGACTCCCTTGGTTGAAAGCCCTCACACACAAGAGGCCTGCCAGTGCTCGGAGGACGAAGCGTACTGGGTGAAATCCTCCTCTTCGAAGATCTCGTCCATCTCCTGAAAAAAAAAACACCCCAGACTCTCCCCAAACTGCTCCTGTTTCTCCGAAGGAACCGCAAATTTCTGCAGCTTCCGCTTTTGTTTTCTCTTAAATGACTGTTGTTGAACTTGGAAATCGCAGTCTTGGAGCAGGGATTCACTCTTCATAGTGCTCCGTTTTCTTTGTGGCTGCAACAAATCCGAGATCGCGAAAGCGAACAACCAGCTGTTTGTCTTTCATGTTGTGCCTTTCACCTTTGAACACTGTGATCGTCTGATCTTCTTTCCCGTTCTTACAACTCAAAGGACAGGACGCACAGTTCAAGGCCCGACCTTGCGAAGGGCTCGACCTCAGAAATTCTGAACTCAACAAATTATGGCTCAAAGGGAACCCGCACAAAAAGGGAGACAATTGGAAACCCATGAAACCGCAACCACTTGAATTTTGAGTTGCTCCTGGGGGCAGAAAAGGTCTAACCTTTTGCTGGAAAGCAGGTCTACGGGGCCGTTGGGCTACTGTGAACTGGCCCGGCGTTCGCCTGCGCCACCTCATCCTTCACCAGCGTCAAGAAGCTCTGCGAGGGCCTTGCGCCACCCGACCAGGGTGTGTTTGTGTGTGTGTGTGTTTTGTTTTGCGGGTAGCCTTTAAAGCTTGGTTTAGAGGGAAAGCAAAAGGAACACCACACTTTGTTGGGAGTCCCCTATTTTTACGCATACCCAAGTTGGTCCGGTTGTCTGTTTTGGGAACCACGGACTCTGAGAACTGTATGCAATCATTAAAAAGTCACAAGGGACTCCAAGGACCTTTCTGGGTTTTTCGTTGTACCCGGTGAACTCGCAATTCAGGTGTGGGTCAAAATTCAACCACCACAAAACCGCAGGTTTTAGCCCTTGTTTCCATTTACCAGGGTTCCATTTTGGGTACATAATTTTGACCCACACCCATTTGTGTAGTATAAAGGACTCATAATCGTGGGACAACTCTTTCCCCGGCCATCCATTTGGGGTTGATTTTAATGTGTGGGTGCGTTAAACGCCCTTTGCGTAAACAATGAGCGCCGGCCTTGTTTCTTTAACAAGGTTGTTGAACCACTTAAACTTTCCTACCGTAATATCAGTAAAGGTCAAAGATGTAAGAGCTTACAAACCTATGTAAGATGTTGAAACCAACCAACCGAGACACCCTAAAACAGGAACCCCCCCTTTGAAACAGTCTGGCTGGCGCATGGAAAACTCACGTTGGCTTGCTCGCTGTTTTGTGGAGCAACATGGATCACTGCTCATTTGCCTTCCAAAAACCTGCCAGTCGGGTCATCTGGGCATTCCTTCTGCTTCCTCCAGCAGCCCTTCTCCAGAAACACAAACCAGAACCCACACACACCACCTGCCAGTTGACGCATATGTCTCGCTTATTTTCTACTTCCTCCAGTAGAGAGGTTAGAATAAGGGTACCAACTTCTTTGTGTAGTCCATTTTAGTAGGGGAACCCTCCCAACCAAAAAAGGGTGAGAAAGGGCACTAATTACTGTCCCTCCCAGACCCCCAAAGAGGGTCCAGCTGACTGGTTCCACTGTTCAGGGGGGGGTCCGTGTAAAGAGGGTCCAACAATACTGGGGACGCTGACTTTTTGTGCCGCGGCGCTTGAAGTCGCCGTCGGCGAAGATGTTCAGCGGCTGCAGCATCGCCGCGTCGGAGGTCCGCGGCAGGACCTCCGCGAGGTCCGTGAGCGCCTCCAAGGCGGACCTGGCAAGCGACCATCGGAGCGGGGCGGTCAGTGCTTCGGGTGTTAAAACGGGAAAACCGCAGGTAAACCGAAGCCAGAAATGGGGTGAAACCCAGGAAAAAAACTTAAATATATACATATATATATATACATACATATATATATATATATATCCTTACCATGGTTGCAATCTACTGAATCTACTGTTGGTTCCGTGTTGAGATGGTATCTGGAAGAAGGACGGTCTTGAGGAAACAACAGGAAGACTGCCATCTCCGTGGAACCTTTTTTTTGTTACCCACGTTGCCCCGACTTGAAGGAGAATTGGGACCGTGAGGATCTTCAACCCTTCAGCACCCAAAGTAGACCTTGCGAAGCGGAAACCTCGGTTGGCGCAGAGCAAGATCCAGGAGCCAAAGCTGGGTTCGAAATGTGGGAAAATCCTGATGCTTGAGAGGAGACATCACTGGGCTGCCCGATTTCTGATCCCCCGCCAAAAGTGAAATTATTTCAGTGGGTTGAATGGAAACTACCTCAAAACACCAAAATAGCTATAGGGCTAAGGAACTGGATGGCCAAGATCAGGCTTTGGTGACTTTGAGGATGCCCTGGGTTGTGGGAGTAGGCGATCCCTGGACCCGTTCCATATAAGGGATATGTTCCCTTACGTGATGAGCCCTCACTCAAACCCTCCCTTTCATCCACAGAAACATGTCTTCCGAATTAACCCGCTGGCCTTCCCCCCCTTCCCCCTTTCCATTCCCCCTTCCCCCCTTCCGCCTCCCCCGGACCGATTCGGATCGATTCTGGATCCAGGGCGCTTGGAGGTGTCGTAGGCCTGGAACACTGGGCGGAGGCGCCGGCGCATCTTCTGACACTCGCGATTGCTCACGAGGAAACGGTGCAGCTCCACGAGCATCCTGCGACAGGAGGTGTCCGCGGCACTGGTCTTCCTACTAGGTCCTCCAGATTTGAGAGGCTAGACTAAGGGTACCAATGTTTTTCTGTAGTCTATTTTAGTAGGGGAACCCTCCCAACCAAAAAAAGTAAAAGGGCACTACTGGGGGACCCAGTTGTCGATCACAAAGGGCTCACGGCAGGCAGAACATCTCACTATGGACCCCAGACCTCATTTTGTCTACAAGATGCCCAGCGTCAAGAGCAACCAGAGGTGTGCAAGAAGGGCTCCCAGAGCTGAGTTTTTGAGGGCAGGGGGAGCGGGCACGCGTAGATTGGCTAAAACAGGGGAGAAAGGATAAAGTTCAAAATCCTTACCAAGCAGAAAGTTCCACTTGAGCCAAAATGGTGGCCAAGTGAAGCACTTGTGGGGAGTTAAGTCAATTGCACTCCTACAGCTGCACTGTAACCCAAATGGTGGACCCCTTTTGGTTGGTATTTCAAGGGACACAAAAGGAAGCCAAACATTTTACGGGACCCCTATTTATCGATCCACCCATTTTCCAGGGGTCCTGCGCGGGCTGAAGGGGAAAAAGTGTAGGGCTGTCTGGCCACAAACCAATTGGCCTTGCGGCCAAGCTTTTGCCGGTACTGCAAAAGAACTTGCGCTGTACCCACAGCTTGCGTGTGGTCTAAATTACTCATGCTGTGACAGCACTCGTTCAGGCGAATCTAACCTGCACCTGGGCTCCACTTGAAGCTCTTGGGCTAGATGAAACTACCCTTTCTGGCATGCAGGTCACACAGCCTCAAACTGCTTGGCTGGTCCAAGTGGCTCCCATGATAGTATCCCCTGAACGGGCTCGTGATGGTTCAGAGTGATTTCGAGAAAACCCGCGGCGCAATCTTCCAATACTGCCCAAACAACATCAACTCGACTTTCCAGAATTGCGGTTCTCAAACATATTACTTGTTTCTTTGTTTTTTTTTTGGGGTTTTATTTCTGGGAGTTCTTTCTCTCTGGCAAGAATGTCTTTCAGTTCCTTTTCCCCAAACAGACCTCCTGTCGCCGAGCGGCGGATCTTTGCTTGCCCCCGCTTCCATGAGCTCGAAGAATCCCCAGGCAGCGGTGCCTGCATCGTTTGGGAGGAACTCGGGAGGCTCTCCCAGTGTGAGGATTGGGTCATGTGCGCGCCTGCAGTTTCCTTCGATGTGGCTGTGGATCAAAGTTAAACCTCCATGGACCGCAGGTTTTAGTGGTTCCATTTACCAGGGCAACCCATTTGGGGTACCTTTTTTTGACCCACTGCCATGTGGTCGCCTTTTCTCAGGCTCTCTCTCCGGAATCAAACTCTGCTGAATTACTGGCTTCATTTCATTTCCAACCTCGCAATCCGAGCGGTCTCGCTGATGAACCTCCACTCTGGCAAAAGCAACTAGGACTTCACATTAGCCAGCCCCCTCACCTCCACGTTCTCTAGCCCACCGCATGCAGGTAGGCATTAGCCTGGTGACAAATGGGTCAAATGGTGGGGTATATTTATATATACACATATTCTGGGGGTTCCAACAAGTCGGCGAAAGCGTCGCCAAGGTTGGAGCGCTGTTCGCGCCTCGGACGTAGGCCGAGTTGTGGCCCAGATAGGGCGCCACCGCTTTGAGAAGCTGACCCGCCAGTGGCGACCCTTCAGTAGACCAGTGGAGGAAGAGGAAGGAAGCGATCACCTCAGGGTTCATTGGCTGCGATTCAACCACCTAGTCTCGGCTGCTTTCTGCTCCCCTGCTAAAAGTTTAACTTTTAGTGGTTTAATACGGAAAACCCACCAGTTGGCAAAAAGTTTCTCAGTCCTAACATCCAAGCTACATGCCCCAAAGGTTTAACAGGTTTGACTATCTCATTTCTCGAGTGGATTGGCCGGGAAAATGTCTAGACTTAGTTGTTCACCACTAACATGGTCTTCCCAACAAAACAAACAGTTGTGGCACTTTGACGACACAGATAGATCAGGTGATAATTCCTCATGGAGTTTGTACCATCGAACCTTGGTATACATCGAGGCGGAAGTTTTCTGAGCGCCCGGCGAGCAGAGATGCGCTGACCTGGTTGTTGCCTCACGGCTCACGTGCTGTTGGCAGTCCCCGCCGGTGGCTTTTCATGTCCCAGTCTTGCCTATTGACAGGTCAGGGTGCTGGAGCTTGTTCGGGCATTCACCAAAACAAACACGTAGTATGTTCGATTCGAGTGGGCATGTATCGGCAAAAACAGCCAAAGCTTGGGTGTCTCTTCAGTCTTGTTTCACTGCCCTAATTGGTTCGTTTCTTGAAAGGGGAGCCCGGAAAACACCGCTTTAGGGCCTTCTTTCTGTGTGTTCCCTCAATTTGGAGACAAACCCTCCAGAACCACTCCACACGAAATGAGATGAGGTTCGAGCTCAAATGTGGGCTTGGACCCTGGAACATGGTGTGGACACTCGAGCCAAAACCACAAACCTGGTATTCAACTGGTCTACCCGCAGCTAAGTAGAACACACAAATACCAAGGGCCGCTGCACCCGCGATATATTTATATATTGCGGATCACATTATCTGAATGCCGCCGAGAGCTGCTTTCGCAGCTGAAGTGAATCAATTGGCGCAGTGGGGGGCAAATGCGGCTCCTGCCGCAATTCAAGTAGACACCAGCCAACAGGGACTTGACATATCTTCAGACCCAATGCTACGCGCAATATAAGCCGCCGAGCAGCATTTTGACCATCAGCTGTCTCTAGGTTGTTTTGTCTTCAACCAAGCATTGCCAATGCCACATCAGTTGGCGAGAGATGCATTTTGGCTGGCTGGCCAACACTCGCACACGTCACCAAGGTTGTGTAAGGGTCGCTTATGACATCTGCATATTGATCTTTATGCCTTATGCAACATATCTAAGACTTTGTCTCAATTGAAAGCAAGCACCGTGGATGGGCAAACTCCTGCACTTGCTGGTAGGTGGCTTGTCCCAGCTTTCATAGGGGTGCAATCCCAACTGGTGCAGGATTGTGTCGGAACTGACCGCGTCCAGTCTGACCAAAGCTCGCCGAGGTGCAATCATAAACTGCGAGACAGTCTACCAAGTGCTTCACCGCCAGGTCTTGGAAGCGGCGACTTAGGACGCAGCCAAGTAGCTCTTGATAGTCACCTCAGTGACTCAGGCCGCATGGCCAAAGGGCACTTTGGAAGAACTGGGGCCATCTTGCGTAGAGTGGCGCTGGCAAAGCGCGTGGGCAAAAAAGGGGTGGTGCCACGTAGTCATAGTCAACACCCCTCGTGCACCGAAACATGTCGCTGAAACTGCCGAACGGGATAGCAGTGGCTCAGGATAAATACATGGATTCGACGGATTCTAAGTGATGCTACTTGACCATGTATGCTTTTGAGTCCGATTAATGGCATTCCTGCCACAATATAACGTGTCAATAGATTGCATTTGCATTGACTTTACGGCAATATGCTACAAGGTTTCTCCTGCATTCAGCGCCTTGAAGTAAAGCGGGACAATCCCTCTGATTTTGTATTTGCCTTGAATGCAGGCAACCTATTTCTTTTTTGTTCTGCAGCGTTCACGGGCTGCTGGCTCTGATTTTTCCGGCAGTGTCCCCGTCTGAGGGCGCGACGCACATCGGGCAAATGAGGCGTCCTGACAGCGTGGCACACGGTCCACACACGTTGGAACTGATGCGCAGGATGTTCCTTGGGTGTTGGGAACCTATTTTGATGGCAGCCCCTCTATTGATAGAAACGCTTCCTTTTGCGGTGCGCTTGCTGCAGTGATGCGTGTGCATGGCGAGTATCTGTATGGTATGCGCGACAATCTCAGCATGTTTCTCTTGCCTTCCTCTCGGCCACTCTGCGCCGGCGTGCCCATGTTCAAAACAAAGCAAACAGGCAAGAAAGGTGCATGGGTACCTTTTGTTAAAGGCCCTTTCACCCTTCCCCCAACCCAACATCCAGCCCCCAGCCTTTTCACCCCCTCCAAAAGCAAGAAGCACGGAAACGCAAAGCCACTGGCAGACCCGAGGCCCGGTGAACCCGAGCAACGATCCGACGCGCCTGAGGTGCCAAAAGAGTTCCGGCAGCAGCTCGGCCACGGTGTCGTCATCCGCGTGACAGCCCAGGATCAACACTGCCTGCATGGTAACCAATAAGTTTCCCTCTGCTTGGTGGTTTGGATTGTGGTTTGGCTCACTCACTTGTTTACCAAAATCCCACTGCATAATGTTGCCCGCAAAGAAACCAACCAACCAGTTTATATTGATAGAGAGGTGATTTTTGGCCCCTCCAAAAGTGGTTGATTCCCCACATGTCGACCAGGGAGAAGCACGGGGTCAACACTAACCAACCAGCTTCCCTCCAATTGGTGGTTTGGTGGTTGAGGGAGGGGTGTCCCCACCAACTAAGGGCTACCTGAACAAAACGGCTCAAGATAGAAAGCAAACAAATTGGCACAGGGTGCATGCATCTTGAAAGAAACTTTTGCCTTGACCCCTATCTCAGTGTCCAAGCCCGTTGAAGATTTGTTTTCTTTGCTTAAGCCTCCTTGGAAAATAACACTATTCCCAGTAGTGATAAATTCCATTTAAAACCAATAGGGGAAATAAACAATATTCTGAAACAAATGGAAGCTTTTTCAGGGGGCAAACCAAGTCCTGGCTTGGAAGGCAAATACTTTGACTCTTAGGTCCAGCTTGCTGATTTGTTCGGTCTGGAAAGCAAACCTGGCAGAAGTTAGCTTCTGTAAGTCTAAGGGTGGCGCCTGTGTTCAAGCGGGCCCAAGGCGGCGGAACTGACTTAGACCTCCGCGGGAACATGCTAAACGAGAACACCTCAAGCCTAAACTGTTGACCCTGAACCTAAATCCTAAACTGTTGTCGTGTGGTTGAGTGGAACTAGCCGTGGGCCCGATCAACTCTGCTGAGACCAACACGTGGCCACCCCTTGACAACCGTGAAGCTGACACAGGCAGTTGACAGTTGACACGCCACCTGTCAGTGGGCCTTGCCTTCCATTGGCTTAAAAGTCTGGAAAAATGGCAAACAACATCCAGTACAATAGATTCCCTTTAAAACCAGGGGAAAACACAACAACTAATCTTAGAAGTGCGGAAAAAAATCGTAAAGCTCCCTTTAAAGCCAGGGGAACCTAGAACACCATGTGCCTCCATTTGCTTAAGACCCCTGGGAAGAATAAATATGTCCAGTAGTGAAATCGATTCCCTTTAAAGCCAACAGGTTCTTTTCAGCCAATGGAAGCTGGCACTTCGACTCCAGCGCCTGCCAGCCTCTGAGCTGAAGGCGGTGCACCGGGCTCAAGGGCATCGGCGTCAGTGGCTTGTTGGCGCCCCCCGGCCTCACGCGAGGCGCTGAGGCGGCCGCGCAAGGGAGCCGTAAAGGGGCGGTGTGCGTCAGGGAAGTGGTTGGTACTCGGTTGCGAAATCCGCTCCCCTGCTAAAAGTGAATAACTTTTAGTGGTTTAATACGGAAAACCCATTAGTTGGCAAAAAGGTGTGCAGTCCTAACATCCAAGCAACATGCACCAAAGAGTAAGCTTGGTGGCATCCCACTTAGGGAGACTAATAATCATGGCTTTTGTCTGACGTTCAATGCTACTTTGAGTACACTTGACTGGCACGAAGCCCGGCCAAAGCTGAGCTGGTTGCTCTTTGGGAAATAAGGTTGTTTCCTTTGCAAAAGAACCAAGGACTGAAGATTCAATTTAATAGCATTCCAGTTTCGAACATACAAAAGCTTTTTGTTCGGAGCACAGTTATTTCCCCTTCTCTCTCCCTCTCTCTCTCTCTCGTTCGTTCTCTTCCTCTTTCTGTTTCTCTTCGCCGTCCTCTTCATCTTCTTGCTTCTCTTCCTCTTCCACTTGAGGCTACCTGATAGTGTGTGCGGCCGTGCCAATGGTCACGTCTCCGAACCTGTTCCGAGGCCGCTCCGCGCCCGCGACCAAGGCAGTGGGCACACATGCAGAAGAGCCGATTTTTGGCGCACAGGGCCACGTGTTCGGCCCTGTAGAAATCTATTCCCCAGCTCTGGCGTTGTCGGACTTTTCCGTACCTTTTTCACGGGCAGTGCATCCAGGTTTTAAAGAGCACACGTGGGTACGTGCATTCTTGGAGAGAACTAGCTCAATTACTTCCCGTACTACGCAAGGTCCTTCTAAGCTTCTTTTGAACATAGAACCCAACAACCCTGATGTAGAGACACGTGTTGTTGGGGAACCTCATGTTTAGATTCCATGTTCTGACCGCGGACAGTACTTCCAAGGGTACTGGTTCTCAAAGCCGATTTTGAGGTAGATTCGGCATTCGGGGAACTGAAAAAACGAAACGCTTGGGTGACCACAGGGTGACCCGTTCAATGGGCTTTGACAAATAGGTTCTTTCCAGATGCAAAAACTCCTGATTGTCCTGTGCAAGCAATCAGAAGGCGTCCCCTTGGAGCCTGTAAAGGGGTCAATGGCCTGCAAAAATTATGCAATAATTTATTGTGAAGAAAATCCAGGGATGGCCTGTGACATTCAGCCTAAGTACTGCATTTCTTGAAAGCAACCCATCAACTTGGGGTTTCTTCTTACCTTGCACTGGCTTTCGCCATAAAAAAGGGGGTGAAAGGCTACTTTTCATACCCCACATGCTTGCCAAGACTGCGGTGGGCCAGCTTGTGCTACATGCCGCATACTCTGGATCGTGTTGCGTTTGATTCAAAGCAGCTTGATGTCTTACGTCTTGAGAACGGCTTGGCCGAACGCAGTCCCCACCCCCCCCCACCCGCCTGTCCAGAATGGACTGAAGCTCTTTTCGCAGCATTGCCAACAGCCTTGTCAGAATCTCCCGCAGAATGCCAGGCATGACACCTTGCAAGCTGCTGCACCCCTCTAATCGCTTGTGTAGACCAAAAGGATCCAAAAGGAGTGGGTGATACAGTATCTCAATGTTGCACATTCAATGGCGAACTCACTTCGCGCAAAGTGAACCATAGGTCGGTCAACGTATTCCCCGCCAGTTGTTTCACAGGAAGGCTCCCACTCCGAGGACATTGTCGTTGCCAACCTACGGGACCTACGAGAAATGAGAAGTCCTTCGCCCTTTCATGGAGAATGAACAACAAGCGTCCTATCCCAATGCATAAGGACTGATAGCGGTCTCTTGAAACGACCTCACCTATGACAGATCGCGTTGTTTGAGACCAGTGAATGACCTGAACCCGCAATACCGGGCTGCTCGAGAGTAAATTCTAGGTTGCAAACCGTGTGAATGGTTCCTACTAGGTAGGGATAGGAGGTGTTCCTAAACTTGGGGACCCTCCTTTGGTTGTTAAACCAAGCAAAGGCATATCTGAGTCGTGGCAACTCAGTTCAGGAACATCAAGGACCTAAGGGAATTGTTTGAGGGTATGTTCAGCCATGGGTTTTGTAGGTATGGAGGCATACCACCAATATAAGATTGTGAGGCAAGATACCAATACCATACCGTACGCCCTACATCCACTAACAAGGAACCTCACTGGGGGGGGGTCCTCGAAGACGATTTGTCTCAAACATCGAACTTTCTTGGTGGGTTCCACGTTGGGATATCTAACCTAAACAGGCTTTTCTTGAAGGCCACTTATTCTGCTTTACACGAATATGCGAGTGATGTGTGTGTGTGTACTTCAAACCAACAATCTACTGGAAAGTACCTGAACATGCCATCAACCAAAGGTGTCCTTTTGGTCAAACAGATGGTTCTATGGAACAAAAAAAACAAAAAACGATCTAAACCAGTCAATCCCGTCTTTTTCTTATCAAACCGACCGATCAAGACACCTATCTGCGAATTAACTTGAATTCGAAAAGCTGAATCAAGAGTTGGATCCCCCAAGTAAAGAACCCTTAATTTATCATGGCCTCTCGCTCGTACCTCCCAATCCGTGGAACCGCTCGCGTCATAAAATCCATTTGATTGAGACCCCTGGGAAAAATGCACATATGTCACGCAGTGATAGATTCCCTTTAAAACCAACAGGACAAAATGCCCAACTATTCTTAAGCAAATGGAAGGAACCCACCTCAATTTGTCCCCCAACTTTGCCTATGCACTTTGAACAGCTTTGAGGAAAGCCCTAGGCAACTGTGGAATGGCTGGGCGCACAGCAATCATGTAGCCTACTCGATGTCCAATTGCAAATAAACATCAGCACGTTTGTCGAAATCGCCCTTTCTAGGATACCGACACGGGTCATTCCCCTCCTACTTTATTGCTACAAAATGTTCTTGGCCTACAAATGGAAGATAACATGAGACCCCTGGGAAAAAAAACACACATATGTCACGTAGTGAAATCGATTCCCTTTAAAGCCAACAGGGGAACATAATAATTTGTATTATTATTTTATCATATATATATATATATGTGTTTTTTTTTTTTTTTATATAGATTGATTTAATGATGTATGTGTTTTCTGTTTTCTTCTTTTTTTAAAAAGTTATTTCAGCACATGAAAGTGTTCGTTTCAGCCACAGGAGGCTGGAACTTCTTCGACTCCGGCACCTGCCAGCCGTAAGCAAATGGGGAAGACCACTTGTGGGGCAGCCACCCAAAAAAAGGGTGCCACTCAACAACTGAGAAATGGAAGACAACATTATAAAAAAGATAACCTTGACAAGTAGCCTAGCTTATGACCTACCTGGCCATGGGTCAAAACCCCGTACACCCAGTGAACATCCCAATCCAACCACTAAAATAGGTTCTAGAATGGGTGGTGAATTCACCTACCAACCAAAATGGGATCCCAAAATGGTTTTGACCACCACAGCCATTTGAGTGACAACCCCATAGGCAAATGCCGACTCAGCGCGCGTGTCGCGCATCCGTCGCCTGGGGATCGTTGGGCCAAACCGTCCAGCGCCGCCAGCGCGAGGATCCGCGGCAGCGCGGGCGTGCCTCCGTGAGGCGGGGCCCAACCCACCCGAGTCAGGTTCTGTATGTTGGTTGTGTAAACAGGGGTCTGCGAAAATCAATACATATATATATTGTGGATGGTCAGGCCACCCCCCCTCAACGAACTACCTTTCCTTCTTTCTTCATAAAATGACTGCAAACACACCGTGTTGTCCATAGTGTTTAGCTCTCTCGACCATATATATATATATATATACATTTGTATATATGATACATTTATGTATGGATGGTCACCCCAACCATGATAAACATATATGTATCCCTATGTGCTACTAAGCGAAGAGGCAACCTGAAAGTTTCCAAAATCTGAGCGATGAACTCAAAGGAAGCCTGAAGGGATCCTGCTATCTGGGGGCATCCCAGTGACGTATGCCCAAACAAACTATTGACCGCCTTCCAACCCCGGAAGTGGACACGGAGGATACCTCGCATCTCGAACCATACTTTGGATGGACGAAAACCATTTCGCACCACCTAAGAAACCCTGGAATGATGATTCACCTGTAAATACCAACAAACCAATGGCTTCCAGTGGTTTCCAATGGTTTCCAAGTGGTGCAGGATTTCGTCCATCCACAGTACTTCTAGCAAACTTTTCCAATTCCGAGGCTTTGGTCTGCTTGCCGCATTTGGACCCTGACACACCTCTTGTTTTGGCAGGCACGAGTCAAGCTGCACACCGGCTCAAGAGAGTCATCTGCAAAACCTCCTGTTCAAGGGTCTTGAAAAGAGAATAGGTAAACAAACTGTGGGTGGACGGAATCCTGCACCACTTTCAAGCCATAGGAAACCATTGTTGTTTGGTATTTACAAGGGAATCATTCTTCCAGGGTTGCTCAAATGGTGCAGGATTTCGTCCACAGTAGGGTCAAGCATCAAAGAGCGCCCGAATTGCCACACGATTGTGCCATGAGCTTCTTCCCACAATTCGGGCTTTGAGTGCGGCTCAGGACCTTAGGACCAACTCCAATGGCTTCCTCTCCGCATCGGTGAGATTCCCACAGGCAAAGGATCGAACTAAACGGAATAGGCGGTTCCAGGGGGTTTGCTGTGGGGTATACCTGCGCTTAGGAAGGGGGCCTGGTCCCTCCCTTTCAAGTACCAAACAAATGGGGGAACCTTTTTCTCACCAGTGGAGATCTGGGATTGGAACTAACAAGCTCACGTTTGATTAATGGTGTCCCATACAGGGAAGCCGGATCAGTTTTGGACACCCCTGCCAGGTTGATTCCCCGGCCAATGGGCAACGCCAGCGTAAAATTGGTCGGTGAGGAAAAAAACGACCCCACGTCCACAGAGTCCGTAGTTGAAGTCGATATTCGGGTGCATCAACTGATGTCCAGCTTCCCCCCTTTGCACAGCCGCTTCAAAAGAACCCATCGGAATAGCCCAGAGCCGATCCGAACGAACTCCGGAAGGTATCTGGGCCCAAGATCTTCCAGGAAAGCACTTCGTGAGTGTATCTCCCCAAAGCCAGTCGGTAGATGGGTTTCATGCCACTATTCATAGGGTCTGATTCATCCCAACTGGGTGCAGGATTTTGTCCTGCAGGATTTGGTCCATCCACGCCAGGAGAATCAACATATTTGAGGGAAACCCTTGTTCAACACCCCAAAACTCACTTCCTAAGTGCCGGGCCTAAAAAAGTCTGACCTTTGTATTTACCACTAAAATGGTAAACCCCTTAGTTGGCAAAAAGTTCTTCAGTCCTAACATCCCTTGGCCAAATGCAAAGAAAAGCAGCAGCTCACGTCGGCGCTTCCCCCCCCCCCCTCCCCCGGCTCCTCCGAACTTCTCGCAGAGCTTCTCCGCGCCGTCCACGGCGCCGTGGAGCGCTGCCGCCCCGGCGGGGCCGGAAGGATCCAGGGCGCCTGAAACGAGTGGGCGAAACGACGAAACGAATGGTTGACCCCAGATTAACCCCTGTTTATTGTGGGGGTGTCCTCGGTTTTAGTGGGGATTCATCACTTTTGGAGAGGAACACCCCCATATTAGTCAACCGTGACTACCATGAGTGTCCTTGTAGGGCAAACAGACGGCCGTGGTTGATGATTAAACCACCAGGTAACCCAGGGCCGTTTATGTTTCTACGAAAACAACCAAAAAGGACACCTATGGTATCTACGGTGGATGGTTGCGAGATCCATCAAACGCACCGTTCAGAAAACCGGGGGTTTCTGATCATTCCCCTGTAAATGCCAACAAACAACGGTTTCAACCGTGGGTTCAAAGTGGGGCGACATACATTTCGGCCCTCCAAACGTATCACAGGGGCTGGGGGGGAGGGATGCCTTAAGGGCTTCATCAGAGCTAATTTGGGCTCCCTTACCCCTCCCCTCCCTCAGGGTCACTCCCATAGGAATCATACTGATTGCAAAGGGAATCCTTGCCAGGCGGATGACCGTCCCTGTAACCTCAAGTGAAGGGGTCTTTTGACCGTGCCATAGGGTACGAGCGAACGTGAAAGACGCCGTTCATGAATCCTGGGTGAACATTATGCTCAATTCAGGGGGAAAACATCATATCTCCCCTTAGATTCGTCCCGAAGGTGATGCTTGACACCACCAAGCCAAAAACGAGGGGAAGCCTGTCTGTTCTTTGGGAGACTTGGCGAAATTAGGACCAAGGGTTTAGTGTGCTCCTGTGAGGTCAGCCGAGTGAGGGCAAGTACTTGCCCAGAATAAGCTCATAGCGGTACTCCGTGTTCAGCTGGATCATGCAATTTTATGTGACCTGCTTTTTGCTAAGACGTAATATGTATATATATATATACTACACTAGTACTTGGTACGCTCTGTCAAGGGTTCCGTTTCACAAAAGCTTTCAGGTTCCGTCAGCGGAATGAGTGGGAAGCTCTCTGCAAGCAGCTAGCTCTTCTCATCCTCTGGACTGCAAACGTCAGGGTAGGGAGGCTAGAAATGGATTCCGATACACACATGCTCCACAAAGCCTCCAGGGCCTGCTTGTCTTTTGTTTTGATGAAGAGAAGTCCATCGCAATGAACGAGGCAGTTTCGCGTGCATGTGGGAGAGATCTAGAAACTACCTGGAGTCTCCATGACCCTGTAAACATGGACCCATTTGTTAAGGGTCATGGAGACTCCAGGTAGAACCATTTGAAGAGAAGGCTGGGACTTCTTTCCTTTGCTCGGCGGACTTCTCACATCACCCACAAACGGGACAAGTTGGGAGTATGTTGGGCGCATGGCGACCATTGGGTGCAAAGGACCTCACGCCATTTAAGACTGGTGAATTGTTTACGACGTTTCGTGTCGTGCCGGTCCTCCGGAATCTACAGTTGGCTGCGACAGCAGCGCATACTGAAAGTGACTGACATTTGTGCTCATTTTGGAATATCCAGGAGGCACATATAATCCGCTTGTGGTTTCGTTTGAAACAAATAAACATCATCTGCAATTGCTGCGATTCCAAAATCAGGAGGAACACTCTGGGGTGGCCACGGAGCAGCTTGAGTCAACTTGGATGGTGGAGCAACCTTCCGTTTACTCCATACCATTGCCTAAATCAGGAACAAAAGCGAATCGGATCCCCAAGTTCTCAGGACCATGGTGGGTCAAAAATCGGAATACCCCAAATGGGTTGCCCTAAGTGGAGACATGGACCAAAACCTGCGGTCCAATTCCTGGTTGAATTTCCACCCGGAGAGCCCACATGGCTCGAAGGACCCCGCGCCTGCGCAAAGCTTCGCGCTGTGGCACAGCGCGCCGTCCTTGATGGTGTACTCGCTGTGCACCAGCAGCGATGTGAGCCTCGCTTCTACGACGTGGCTCTCAGAAATCAGTGATCCCTTGGTATTTTTGCTTGGCTCTCGGGAATTCAGGAAATCAGTTTTTTTCCCTTGGTATTCTTGGGCAAAAGCTGCTTGTTTTGCACCCGGGCCCCTACTAAAATCAACAGAACCAAACAACAAAACTACCGAAACACATGCCAACAACCGTGAAGATCAAAGTTCGGGCTTTTGAACCGTTTGGGATCCTATAGGACACCAGAGTGGTTCAGTTCGGGGTTCCCTCATTTGCGAACTAGCAAGCAGCAAGATGCTTTCCACTGACCCCAAACCTGTATCCAAGGGAAAGCGAGTGTACCCCATCTATCTGCAAAGACTACAATACTTCACCCGGGCTCCCCAAATAGAGGACCTACATCATAGTGAGCTCTTGATCCCCCAAGTGAGCTCGCCGTGAACTAAGCACATTGATGTATGGCTACACAATAGTTACACACCATTATATATATATATATACACATATATATATATACACGCACATATATATATATACTATATGTATGTATAAACATGTATAATGTTATACGTATATACATATATATATATATATGTATATATATATATATCTATATATAGATATGTACATATATATATATATTGTCTGTATCCCGTTTCCCTTGACGTGGTTAGGGGATCGCCTAGGTACCTTAGAGAGATACACGTTTGGCGAGGGGAGCGGGCGCCCAGCGGCCACGGTTCCTTTGGTTGAAGAAATGTAGGTTGGCTCCACGATGGGATGCGTTTTGTAAGGACCCCCTGTTGGTTGGTTTTAAGGCAAACCAAACAGACTGCAAATGCAATTTTGGGGGTTCCCCAATTTTTGGACCCATATTGGAACCCCCGATTCAGGAAACGGGGGGGGTCCTCGTTTTGACAGGATTGGTCAACAAAGAGGCCTGGCGCATATTGAAACTGCCACGGCGGTCTTGCCTTCTTGGTTACTTCCTACGTTTACTGCAAAATCAGATCGATGTCCTGCAGGATTGCCTCACCTCCCCTTTCGGGGAAGCCCAGAAGGTGTTGGAAGGCTTCTTTCCTTTTCGGAAGCCTCCTTGTCCAAATTGTTTGACTGAAAAGAAGCCGCGAGGGAACAGTCCCCTAAGCTGACGCAGCACAGCTGGCTTGGCGGTGGTTGTAACGAATAGCAACGCGAGCCGCCAAAATCCTTTTGCCAAACTGACATAACTCAGAAACCATCGCTTTAAGCTTTAAAGAAACGCCTTCGTCTTTGAGAGTGTTCGGTCAAGTCTCGTAGTCTCTTCCAGAGTCTTCCCGTAGGCCTTCAAAACCCGCCCAATACACAATCGGGATCCTTCGTTGTAGAACCACACCCCTCGTGTTTGACGGTTTTACCCTCGTCCACTCCAATACATATCCCCGATACGAACCTTTTTAGAGGTAGCTCGTGTGCCTGTTTTCTTCCAGGTTTGAAGGCGACCCAAGCTCTGCTTGCTTGTTGGCCTGATCCTTACCTCCCTTCTGGTTGGCCAGTTTCGATGATAAGAACCGCCCGGAATGGACCAAGGCCAAAGTCTGGTAGTTCAACTGAAAAGCACAAATATAGATAAAATATAAGTGAAAACGGCTTGTCAAGGCCATACCATTGCTGAACAAAGCTTGTTTCAACACGCTAACAGTCAATGTACCTTCTGAGTCGGTTGATCAAAACCCGGTACTAAAATGGTCGACCCAGAACCATGTAAAGAATTAAGAAGGCGGCCGCTGCTATTCATGGTTGGGATTGTCCCTTGCTAACCTTCACCTACCCGGGTTTTGATTGTGGCTCACTTCAACTTCTCGAAAGCCCTCCACAGAGGGCGCTGCGACCCTCCTGCTCCCCCAGCCCCCGCTCCCCGACAAGCGTCAAGTCTGCCGCCGATTGCCGTGCGCCATCCTCGCAATCCTCGCACGGGAAGACTTTAAGCGCTGGCAAGGGAAGCTGCCAGCAGCCGTCAATGCTGTCAACCACCCCACCAAACACTGTCAAGACATGTCCCTACATACGAGGTGATGAGGGCATGAGCTGTACATGATCGCGAGAAATACAGAGACAGAGAGCCACGTGCCTCACTTCCCTTTCTGGTCCAATTTTCTTGGGAAGTGAGCGTATATCAGAAAGAGGGAAAAGAGGGATGGGCAAGTTGTTTCTTCGTAACATGTGGCATAGAGGCTCTTATCCATTGCATTCTTCCCTGTCCTCGTCCTATACAGTTCTTCCTGGACGAGTGATAGACAGGGAAAGAACAACACATTGTCCATGAGACTGCCTATGACAAAGAAAGGACTTGGCTATCATTCCCCATCCTCTTTCTCTTCTAACTCTGCCAAGTCTTTATATTTTTATTTGTGGATGACTTGGCGAGAAAAGGGAGTGAGAGTCCATCCCCAGTTTGTGAATTAGACCGTGAGAGATGGTGGGTGAACAATGTTCCCCAAGTTTGCATGAAACCAAGGTTGCATACAGTACAGCCCGCCAAGTGGAAGATGTGTATTCCGCATCTAGGAATATACAATATTTAGAAAACAGTGCAGAAAATTGTTGCCGTGTATTGCAAAATTAGGCATCCTTTGATGGATAATTTGAAGAAAACAAACACCGAGCCGGAGTAGGCGGACCGAAATTAAGAACCTACTTAGACAGTAGGTTATAGCCATGCCTGGAGTCTCCCACAATCTCAGTACAGGTTCACCTTTTGGATCTCTGACTGCAAATGGACCAAAATGGGAAACAGCAAGAGGTCAAAAGGTCGTTTTTGGACAACTGAGCAATGCAAAGTGACGCACTCTTTTTTCTGAAAGGCACAACCGGTTGCACCTCCCACATTGCACCGCCTATGGAACAGTTGGCACATCAGCACATCACCCAAAACGAGGTGGGACAGGGAAGGGGGGGGGAGGTTCAAACCCGACAAGGTCCAAAGTGCCAAAGTACTTTTGCTTCGCCCCTTCGAGTGGAACCTGGCAATGTTAGGTGCTTGTTGGGGTGCCAAGCCATCGGCTCCTCATTCCTTTGGCCCTTGTGGTAGCTGTAGGACAACACACCAATGCCTTCCCATCCGGTCCGGAGCAGTTGCTTCGGCCAGGAGGGTGGACAGCAAGGGGGTCACGACGGCGCGGGAGACACCTGAGAGGGGGCTTGCAGTACTGGAGTTCGGCCGCCAAAATGCCCAAACTGTTTGCTTGCCGCTAAAGGGGTCTTCTCAAGCTCCCATTGCACTATGTAACCGGGGGGAAGCATCACGACCCGCTAGACATGCTTGCAAAGCTATAGTAGTAGCTGGAAGCACTGGGATGGGTAAAAGAGTAGATGCACACCTAGTGCCATGTTCCATCTTTAAGCAAAAACTGACCTGCACAGGTCACCCGAGGTTTAGCTTCCAAGGCCTTCAAAGGGAATTCTCCGTTCGTCTTGGACGTCAAGTCGGCACTCGTGGCTCTGGCTCGTCGCCATCTGACACCAACCGCTGCACAGCGAGACTGTGGAGGCGGACCGCTTGCAACGGCAGAGGGTAACTTGAAATCCGCCCCTTTCGCAAGGAGCGGGTCGTTGACACATTCAAGAACTCTGGCTTCAAAGAACCTGGAATGTCCTGCTGATGGTCTCTCAGTCAGCCAGCTAGCTAGCCAACCAGCTGGCCAGCCGGCCAGCCAGTCAGGCAGTCAGTGAGTCTGTGAGTCAGTGAGTCAGTGAGTCAGTGAGTCAGTGAGTCAGTGAGTCAGTGAGTCAGTGAGTCAGTCAGTCATTCAGTCAGTCAGTCAGTCAGTCAGTCAGTCGGAGTCAATCAGTGTCAAGCTGGTGAACACATAAGATTTCATCCCCCGTCCTCACGCCTTTTGTGGAGGGGATCCGCGAAAAGGAAACGTGAAGCACTCCCTTTCAAGCAACACATGCGTTGTGCGAATGTGGGTTTTCAGGTGCGCTTTTTTCCATGACGCCAAAACACCCAAGCCAGGTGGTTGTTGCAACCCCTAAGACTCATCCACAGCTAGGGAAATCAACGTGCCACCCCCCCCTAATAGTGGACGAATCCCCTTGACTCATTCATTGGTTCTACCCCCTTTTCGGCTCAGAAAAGCGCAGCTCCAGAGAGGGCCTGTTCCAAGTTCGCCTAGCGCAAGCAGCTCACGTACCTGGGCGAGAGATGAGGGTACCTGGTTTCATCTATGGATCCTAAGGAGGTCTGAAAAATGTGTGTGTGTGTGTGGTTTTGTTTGATGGTACCTATTTCTCGTGATCTGTTATTGGAGAACCACAAGGAATACCAGCAGTTGGGGGGTCGCCTACCAAAACTCACACACACACACACCCATGTAACCCTTTCGGGGAAAGGGGGGCCCTAATGTTTTTCCTGATTGAGCATAATAAGTATGGGCTATTGTTGCACTCAGCTGCAAAAGTCCAGCCAATCGAATTACGCAAATCACCTGGAACAAAAAATGGGATAAAGCACAACACCTCAGTGCCTCAACACCCAGCCGCCGGAAAGAAACAAAAAGTTTCACAGGGAAACTGAAACTCTCTCTCTCACACATGCGTATACAAAGCAAAGAAAAAAAATAAATAAAGAAAGAAAGAAAGAAAAGAACAAAGAAAGAAAGAAACAAACAAGCAACCAAACAAACAAACTAACACAAACAAACAAGCACAACTACACACGCTCTCACACACACACACACACGCACGCACACACACACACACACACACACACACACACACACACACACACACACACGCACGCACACACACACACACACACACACACACGCACGCACGCACGCCACGCACGCACGCACGCACACGCACGCACGCGCGCACGCACACGCACACGCACGCACGCACGCGCACGCACACGCACACGCACACGCACACGCACACGCACACGCACACACACACACACACCCACACACACACACACACACGCCCACGCGCACGCGCACGCGCACGCGCACGCGCACGCGCACGCGCACGCGCACGCGCACACACCGCCCCCCACCCACCCACCCACCCATGGTGCACCCACCCCACCCCACACCACGCCACGCCACGCCACGCCACGCCACGCCACGCCACGCCACGCCACGCCACACCACACCACACCACACCAAACCAGACCACACCAAACCAAACCACACCACACCACACCACACCACACCACACCACACCACCCACGCACCCACCAAACCCGCCCACCCACCCACCCACCCACCCACCGACCCACCCACCCACCCACCCACCCACCCACCCACCCACCCACCCACCCACCCACCTATTCACTCACCCACCCACAGACACACACATGACACACACACACACATGACACACAAACACACAAAACGCACGCAAGCACGCACGTACGGAAGAACGCACACAAGCAAACACAAGCAAACACAAGCAAACACAAGCAAACACAAGCAAACCAACCAACCAACCAACCAACCAACCAACCAACCAACCAACCAACCAACGAACCAACGAACCAACGAACCAACGAACCAACGAACCAACGAACCAACGAACCAACCAACCAACCAACCAACCAACCAACCAACCACCCAACCAACGCAACCCAGAAACCAACAAACAAACAAACAAACAAACAAACAAACAAATAAACAAACAAACCACCTGCAAACCAAGTAACAAGCAAGCAAACAAACAAACGAGCAAACAAGTGAGCATGCGAGTGAGCGAGTGAGCAAGCAAGCAAGCAAAGGCTTTCAAATGCAGACACGCAAACAAACCCAAATACATATGCACACACACACACTCGCACAAAGAAAGAGAGACAAAAACACTCGCTCACACACACACACACACACATACCCACCCCAGGCACGCAGAACGCTCACAGGGATGGAGGGACACAGGGACGCAATCACACACGCAAACACACGCACAAACACTAACACAAAGAACAAAACAAGTAGCACCACGAGCATGTGTATATTTGTAGTTATACATAACATTTGTACATAATTACGCAGAAACGTTGAACCCGCCATAGTGCCTTTCGAAAAGTTCAAGTCCACAGGTCATTTTTACACATCCCAAGCAAGCTCCCTTGAAGACCCAAACCAGATCGGATGGTCAACGCCGGGGTCCCCCAAGGTGTGCGTCTGGGATCCACAAAGCACTGTGGAGAGTGTAATGTAACAAACACAGCGGCTGGTTCTTCGTACGGCGAATGTCTCCAATAGACCAAGTCAGACATCGAGAACCAAGCTTATGTGGCCCTTAGGACAACCAAAACGCAGCTCAACCCAAAGATAGTCTTTTCTGAGAAGTGTTGCTTGACTAGGTCTTCAGTAGAGAGGTCAGAATAAGGGTGTCCTTCTTCTGTAGTCCATTTTAGTAGGGGAACTCTCCCAAAAAAGGGTAAAAGGGCACTACTGGGGGACCTAGTTGATGTGGTCTGGATGAATGTAGACGAGTCGCAAATCCTGAGACAAAAAGTATGTTGCCCTAAAAGTGCTAGCCGGCAAAACATGCTTGAACTGGGAGCGGCTAAAAGGTGAAGAAGAGGTTCTGCTTGAGCTTCCTTTGTTTCAGGTAACAGCCGAGGGCAGCCAGCATGAGTATCAAGGGGTTGAACTCGGGTTGATTCCCCATTCGCATCGCTCGCTTCGGAGCCTGTCGGCTTGGGAGCAAGAGAAGCATGCCGGAGAACGGGAGCAGGTAGAGCCAGACTGGTGGCAGTCATTGGCGTTTTGCAAATTCTCGCCAAGCCATGGGTCAAAATCCAAATCGTACCCCCAGTGAACATCCCAATCCAACCACCAAAATAGGCTCTAAAATGGGTGGTAAATTCACCTACCAACCAAAATGGGATCACAAAACGACTTTGACACCCACAGCCATATATTGGCTATGCGACAAGCTGCGGGGACCCCCAACAAATGCGGGAACTCCTTTTCTTACTTGCCGAAATAGAAGGTGACCCTTCCGGGCCATGACTAAAACACAGGTGAAAATGTCGGATTAACTTTGGACAACTAAGAAAAGCAAAGATACATGAGAGTTCACATAGTGTCAGGACGCCCCTTAAGACCTTCTCCCTGATTGAGGAACACGCCCACCGACGGAGCCGGCGTCGATCAGGAACGCCTTGTGCCAGGTTGCTGCTTGAGTGACGGAGCTGGACTTCAGTCGGACCTGTCAGCCCATCCCATCAGCCTCCCTCCTTTGAGCCGAGTCTCGTTGGCTTGATGGAGGGGTGGTTCCTAAAACCCTAGCCAGGGCTTCAAATCCACCAACTGAGGGTTACCTGACATCAGGTGTCACCCAGTGTGCTAACAGGGGATACTAGAAAACGCCCCCCCTGAATCATAAGTCAACCAAGGGTTAAAATCAAAATCCGGCTTGACACTAACGGACTTACTAGATCTCCACCTCAAATGCCGCATATCTTGCGGGTTCAAGTTCGAGTGAAAGTGCCACTTTTGGCAGTAAACGGGACATTGAGGGACCGGATCCAGTTTCTGCCATCGGATGCCCCAAAGCTACAAAACAAGAAACTTCCCACTTTTCAATGGGAAAGCTACCAAACAGAAGAAGAGGACGCCAAAGCCTGCTTCAGGATGAACCAACAAAAACAGCCTGACAAAGAGCCAGCACAAGGACCCATCAGCACCCTCCAAAGTGCCCTTGTGTGGATCTGTTTGTGGCAATTCGACGAGCCCTGCCAGGTACTGCAAAGTGCTTTCTTGTTCAAAAGCAACCCAACAAAGAGCAATGAGAAAACACTTCAAGGTCCACAAAAGCCCAGCCCCCCCGCCGCAAACAAACCAGCGATCAAAGTCCAAGAGTACAAAACGTAACAACAAACAACTGCAACAAAACGAAGAAGAAGGCCCAAAGCTGAAAGACCACCCCAAAAAAGGACCAAAGTCCAAACCAGCCGCAAAGAAGAGAAGTAGAAGCCCCAAAGCCCGCTTTCAGCTGAGTCACAACCCAAACCTGGTAATAAAATGTGACACACCCAATTAACAGCTTCCTTGTTCCACAGGGATCCTTACATTATACACCTGATCAATGCCTTGTAGATGGGACCCGACGTCTGACCAAATGGGCTTTGGCTTCAAGACGTCTGGGAAATCACGAGTCACAATAGTCACCAACAAATATAGTTCCAACAATAGTCATGTCAAGTGTTTCTGGGAGACATGAGTCACAATCAAAGCCCGGTATTAACAAGGTCGTAATCCCAGAACCATGTAAAGAAGCAAGAAGGCGACTGCAGCTATTTGTCATTCGGATTGTCCCTTACTAAGCTTCATCTGGGTTTTGAGCACGTGGCTCACCTTTTCGTTGAACCGGAGCGAGCGACCGGCGCCCGCGCCGCGCCTCGGCCTGGCGCAGGTCGCAGAGCGCCGCCGCCAGCTCCAGCAGACAGCCCCGGGCCATGTACACCGCGCCTAACTCGGCGAATTCGATTTAGTGGAAAGCTGGGTGTATATGTAGGTATATACATACACATATGATATGTGCGCATATGTGTATGTGTATATATATATATATATGTGTGTTGATCTAGTCGCATACCCATATATTCATATATTTACTTACATGTGTGTGTATGTATATATATATATATTGACATGAATATCTTCTAATATGTATATATGTACCGTATGCGTCTTGTTTTCGGGGGAAGCGCTGCTTGATTGGCTTGAAAGGGACACCAAGAACAAGACCACTGTTTGGTGGGTCCACTAAGGAAAGACACACACACACACAGAGATGCATATATACATGTTTCGTGTGTAAATTTGATGTGTGAAAAACAAAACAACGTAAGAGTCACTCGCTCTGACCACGCCACCTTTTAGTGGCGCATCTGCAGTCGTCATTCACATCCTGTGGTGTCCATGGACCTATAGAAGACATGTGTGCTTAAGCCTTGCTGACACGAAAATCAGCAATCCTTGAACAGAAAACAGATCCACATGGCTCTCCCGGTTGTTTGGACGTTTAGTCAATACACGCAGAGCATGGATATGTGTTGTGTTGAACTATTCCCTGGAGCAAACAATGCCAACTGTATCTAATTAAATCTTAGACACTTAAAAACTTAGAGAGAAAGAGAAAGAGAGAGCCACGTGCACTGCTTGGCAGCTGACAACTCCAAACAGGGACAACAACATACACCAAAACACAAGCTTTGGCTGCCACAAGTGCACTGTCGACACCGTCGCAACGGTTTCATGATACCTCACGTCTAAAATGGCCCTTGAACAAATACACGTAATCTCATGATCACTGGGTTGTATGAAGCCGTTCTTTCCCACGCCCTGTCAAAAAAAAGGCGCTTCAACGAGTCGTGTTCTCTAGGTGGCCATGCAGCCGCTTGAGTTCAACAGTGTTCAACAGTGAGAGCGACATGTCCTCCGTTTGGGTGTACCCGGGGCAGCGGGGGGCAGGGGTCAACCGGACAAACCACAGCCCTATTTTGAGAATTCAACAAATTCGTACGGGGGACCCTCGGGAAAGCAAGTATAAAATCTGAAGCATGGAACCTGCACAGAAGTGCCTTTGAAAGAACACTAGCAACTGATCCAAAGGCCCCTGTGCAGGCTCCAGGTTGGTTTTTGGGAGGGTACACATCGCCTTCCTGGTTACTCCATGGCGGCCCGGGCACCATCTCCGACGCTCTGAGAGATGAAGCCACGAATACTTCGGCAGAGCCGCTCGAGCATGTCCTGCTTCTCGCCTGAGTCGGTGACAACAAACCGCTTTGTGACTGCCTATGACCTGCTTGTTAGAACCTGGTACACGGGTCCTGTGTACTGCCTGTACTTGGAACCCATTTATTCCCAGAAACGGGTAACAAATGGGTTCTAGGATGCTCCACACAGAGTCTCCTTCCTGCATGCTGGGACCCACTTCTTGGAACCCGCGAAACACGGGTCCACCGAGCAAGAGGAAGTCTTGGCGCCTTAGAACTGGGATCCGTCGTGGCCTTGTGGCCAAGTCACATGCGCGGAGAATTTGTGCATTTCCCAGCGGGGAACAGCAACACCTGGTGGCAAGTTCAGCCTATATGGGTGTGGCTCAAAAATTTAACAGGAGGGGTTTCTCGCAGGTTTTGGGTCCATGTTTCCGGTACCGGTTTTTTGCGGCACAGCCATATCAACGTCATGCGTCTGAACTAAGGAATCCCAAGGGGGATTTCAGATTCGGGCTTTCGGGATCCCGAAGCGGTGGAAATCCAGTTTGGTGCCAAAACCCCCGTGAGCCCTCCGCATGAACCATGGCCCCAAACCATGCCACCATCCACGCTCAGCCGCAGCCACCTACACCAGTGCCACGCCACAAACCATCTATGCTGAACCCTCACCAACTCCAAACCACTCCAACCACCAAGTGCCAACACCGCCAAATGGTCAGCTGAAGTCCACATGGCTTCCACCTTACCCGCAAAATGGATATCTATACCAACCCACCGCCCTATGGGTGGCTTCAAGTTTTCACCCCCGTGGGTGCCCTTTCGCCTTTCGAGCCGCCGTCCGCTTCCGCAAAGTACAGCGGGTAGAGGCGGCGCGCCACCACTGCCCAATATGCCACGTGGGGCGCTTGCAGTGAGTCCAACTCCTCTAACACCTCCGCCACGACCTCTGGGCCTCGGAAGGCTGTCGCATGCCAAGCAACAAAACACTGTTGCTTGCTGACTCGTGGGAACACACACAAGTTTCCCCAAAGCTTCACGGCTAAAGATTTAACCAACAAGCAGCCGACATGACTTTGGTTTTCATGTTGGTTTGAAACCAAGCTGAAAAGGGTGCTCTTGGCCTAAACAAATCAATACATATATATATATATATACATATTGTGGATTTCTTGTATTTCGAGGTGCCTGACGGGGTTCCTTTTCATGGAACGCAAACAAACATGTCGTTGTGGGGGAGACATATCGGAAATTTGGATGTGCCCAAAGGACCTGGAAATCAAAGCCGAAGCTCTGGAAACAATGCTTGCATTTGCTTTTTCGCCCAGTGCGACAAATAAACATATGTCCAGTGGTGAAATCGATTCCCTTTAAAACCAACAGGGGACAATAAAGAAAGCAGTCATTTCTGCAAACACAAATGCAAGGCTGGAGGAAAACGGGGATAAACATAAGTTCAATTGGCATTGGGCAGCCCCGAATGGGTGGTTCCATGCTGCTTGAGTATGCCATCTTCTTTTACCCTACCAACTTGGCCCATGCAATTTACACAAAGAACCAGATTTGCAGATGATGTTTCCTGTTTGGCCATGGGTCAAAATCCCGTACCCCCAGTGAACATCCCAATCCAACCACTAAAATAGCCTAAAATGGGTGGCGAATTCACCTACCCCAAAATGGTTTTGACCCACCGCCATTTTGGTGTGATTTCCCCTAAGTCTAAACCAGTGGAGGCAAAACAACTGCTGTACCCTGCAAAATCACTGGTGCTCAGTAAGGAATCAGGGATATGGAGAATGAACCCCCTCGGGATCCCCAAGGACGCCACAAGTGATGCTTACGAATCTGGGCTACCCTCAGACCCCCTAAAAGTGACAAACTTGTGGGTGAAACTCGGACATCCAACCACCTTTCTCCAACTAAAAAAAGGGACATCTAACAGGCGAAGTTGCACCGCATGCAAGGGATCATTCCGTTTCTCACTCCCTATCAAGAGAAACAGAGACCTTCGCTCCTGCAACACCCAACGAAGCTGAGAAGCTAAGAAGCGATGGCTGGGAGCCAAGCAAGGGATCATTCCATTTCTCATTCCCTGCTGAGGAAAATCGAGACCTCTGCCGTCGCTCGAGCCGAGCTGCCGAGATCTTGTGCTTCGAAGTCCTTGCAGCGCACCTGAAAACCGCCACGGGCCGTTTTTGACGTCGGACCTCCGTGAAATCCGCGGATTCCGGTGGCTTTTTTGGAAGGACCTGGACAAAAAGACGGTGCTCACCTTTTGGGGCCATGAAAACGGGAACCCGAAAATTGGAAAACCACAAGGTCAAAAGGTCGATTAGGTGATCACCTTTTGTGACGAAAAAAGGAGTTCCCTCAAGGTGCGAAGCGTTTTTGTGTCCATCCACAGCTTTCTCTGGGAAAATTGCTCTAACTCCTTAAGCATTTCATGAACCTAGAACCTGTTTTTAGGGGTTTGTGACGGGCCTTGAAGTCAAGATAATATTGATTTGGGCAAACGACCTTCATCACGGGTGATAAATAGTGATGTGTTGCTCGCATATTTTACCTAATTAATTATGTTGTTTGTGTTTGAGGCCGGGTGTCCACATGTTCCACAAACCTGAAACGAATCAGAAGGTCAGGGACTCTTCATGGTGGGTGAGCTCATTGTACCGGGGTCAGCTCGTGTTGACTGGAACAAAAACAACATGCAACGGCACACAAGTATAACTCTGCCGCTTTACGGGTCTGGGCTGCCCTCAAATCCCCTGCTAACAGTTTAACTGTTAGTGGGTTAAATGGAAACCACCACTAAACACAAGAAGGCCAAAAAGCTAAGGAACCGGATGGCTGGGAGCCACCAAGTGGGCACTTCTTTGTTTTGCCCTGTCCGATTGGAACCACCTTGGTCCTCCCATATCGACCCACCGCCGAGGCGCAATCTGCGCCAATGCACGCCACTTCGCCACCAAAACCACAGAGGAGGCATCTCGCCACTCCTGTACTCGGCCCAGGCCTTCGTGTTGGATTCGTTGGAGGTCCTCATACTCCTCCGGGAAACACGTGGGACCAGAAAAATCGGGCGAACCCTTGTGGATCGCTGTTGAACAAAATTTGAGGGATATTAAGGGAACCAACCTTCCATGTGCTTAAGCCCGCTGGAAAATCATAATAATAATATTTAAAACAACATGTCCAGTAGTCATAAATTCCCGTTAAAACCAACAGGGGAAAATAAGAAAATATTCTTAAGCAAATGGCAGCAACCATTTGGCCGTGGGTCATTAGGTACCAAACATGGCTTGGTCAATGGACCCAAGGATTAAAATCTGCGTTCCCCAGGTGGATTCATATTGGCCCATTGACACAAGCCATGACCGATACGATCTGACAAGCACTATTCGACACGCCGATATGGGCCAATCTTCCAAAATCACAACTTATGTGTAGTAGACTTGCAGGGTTGCAAGTCCACTATCAAATATGATTCGCCGTCGAACTGCGGATAGCATGGTGATTGTTCATATCAGAAACCAAAAGGTTCCCAGATTGTCTTGGACTAAAAACCTCAGCGTTGCTAAGGGAAGCAAAACAAACACTGCTCAGTTGAAGGTGCTCGAAGTTTCACACCGTATCTGTGTGTGTGTGGCATGGTCATAATTCTCTCAATAGGATTGTGTTGTTTTTTTGTTTTTCAAAACATGGTTCTCTAAAAAAAACTTCAGGGCCAATCACCCCCACTGCCCGGGCCCTTGTTAGGCCTAAAAACAGGAGGCCAAGCACGCAGATTGCACATGCAGCACATCAGCTGTGTCCTCCAAGCGACTCCGCTGCCACTGCCCCAGATCCTCCTTCACTCCAATGCCGAACCTCGAATCTACGACCTCAGATTGAGGTCTGGAAAATGGAGAGGCCCAACCAGGTGGGCGGGTTGTTTCCCTGATATCCCCCTGATATCTCATAAAGGAAAACCTTTTGTGTACCATGTATTTGAGATTCTGTGGCATTTTGCAGGGGCTCGCCCCAGGTAACTACATGGGTGGGACCTTAGCCTCTTGGAACCCTTGCGTCAAGGGACTTAGTGAGTTGGCAGTGGACAGGGGTAAGTGCATGATTTTAGTAAACAACTTGGATTGAAGATCTGGTCCCACTCTGTGACCCTGGTCTGCCGCATGTACGTTTTGGCTAGCTTTCGTGAGACGTCTTTCAGACCGGGTCTGCCTCAAGGGCAGACCCCATTCGAGGTTTTTCGGGGGGGGAAAGGCACTTAGATTGATGTTGATTTCGGACTAGTCTGGAGGACCAGACCAGGGGGGTGGCTCCTTTTTTTAGTAGATGCTCTATTTGAGGGTGTCCCTGACTAGGGACTGGCTCCATCCCAACTAAACGACTTGTTCTGCATCATTAGAAGGTAATTTATAACAATTTGAGTGAATATCATTTGATATTAAACTTCAACTCCTTCCAAATACCCTTGGAAGAGGACAGGGAGGCTCCCATTTTTTTTCTCGAAAGTAGTCTTCCCATCTTCTCAGCTTCCATGATTGAACAGGGCAGTAAGTAGTACATCACCTTCTTTGGCATGTTTACATCTTCTTAGAGGGAGGCCCAGCTGAAAACCCCCCCAGTTACGCACCCAACTGAAGCGCGAGCCTAGTTCCCACAGCCCGAAACGAAAGATTTCTGCCGGGTGGCGCCTGAGGGCTTGCCAGGAGCCTGGAACCGCAGGAGCGCCAGGAAGGCCGCGGACTTCTCCTCTGACGCTGCGTCCGTGTTTTTGGGGGTCTCAGATAGGCCCCGGGGTGGGCCGGGCGACCCGGAGGTAAGGTTCCACGAAGGTTCCACGGGGGTTCCACCAGGGTTTTATGAGGTTTTGCGAGGTTCTGGAGAAGCTGCCCGTTTTGGGCTTCAGCAAAAACCCAAAGGAAACTAGGTCCTTCAGTAGAGAGGATAGAATAAGGGTACCCTTTTTCAGTAGTCTATTTTAGTAGGGGAACCTCCCCAAAAAAAGGGTAAAGGGCACTACTACTGGGGGACCTAGGAAACCACCATTGGTTGGGGCCTCCGATTGTAAGACACAGTGACACACCCATATAAACCGAGAGCATCCCCGCATCGATTTGCACGTTGGGTGTGGCACGGCATGCCTGACCATACTTCACATGCTCAACAGCCAAATGTGTCAAAAAAGAGTTGGATTCGAGTAAAGGGCATGCATCATTGTGATCCTGGTTTGCCTCCGCATCGGTGAGCTCGCCGAAACGTGGGCAATTCCGCAACCGACGCGGCAAGTAGTATGGGACGTTGCTCAAATCTGGGGGTTACTTGGATGTTCAACCATCCTTGTGGAATATAACCATAATCATCTTTGAAGTGGCTGGGGTTCGTCTCCTCATATCCACGGTTTCATGAGACACGCGGTGTGGGAAACTGACCAAGACTTCCCTCCCAAATCGTCCATGGACAACTCAGGAAATTTGCAAACTGGCCAGGGGTTTGTCTCAAAGGGTTTTTTTCCATGTCTTCTCCGTTCTCCTTTAGTTTCCCTTTAAACCAGGCCCAAGAAGGGGTATAGGAAGACCTGCCGAACACCATACGCCTCTGCCATATGGGCCACAGCCCCCAAGAGCGAAGCAGCTGCCACGAGGCCCAACCTCGGTCCGTTGAAACCGCACAGGTGGTCAAAAACGAGCAATTGGGTGTCTTTTGCTAAGGTTGGACCCCCGCAATTCCTTTTGGCTTCCCTTCAAACCCACAAAGCATGGGGTACCCTCAACAACAAAGCAGCCCCCCAAAAAAACGCCCTGGGAAAAAAAGACACCTCATCCCACCCCTTAGGGAAACTAAAGGAGTTTTTGTGCTTCAACGGGTGTTTAAACGGGCTTCGGGATCAAGCAAAACCCATGGCGGCATTCATTTGGAATGATGTGTCCCAATAACTTTCATAGCCATACCCTTCAACACCAAAGGAGATGAATCGTAAAATGTCACAACAAAAAATGATGTGGGTGCAATTTGAGGTACCCTCTTTGGGGTTGGTTTAAAGGAACCAAGAGGCAATCGCCTATTTTGACACATGTTTGCACCACCCGGACAACATCTTCGGATGTCTGTGCCGGAAAAAAACACAACACGTGGGTGCTACACAGAGGGTCTAGAAGTTGTCCATCCCTTTTTGGCTTTCCTTTAAGTCAAATTCCATAAAGCACATGCCATCTAGTAGGCGAAAACCACCCCCCCCCCCTTCCCTCCGGGCCGCGCCACGTTTCTGCGGGTTCCCGCGGCTCCTCTCTCCGCAGTTTCTCCAGAGCTTTCGGCAGCACCTCGAGTCTCACATCTGAGCCGTCCGTTCCGCTAAAAGGCCCTACCTGGAGTCTCTATGACCCGTCATTACCCAAAATAATGGGGTCATGGACCCATTTTTAAAGGGTCATGGAGACTCCAGGTAGATTCCCCACTAAAAGTAGCTAACGTTTCGCGGGGTAAACAATGACCCAACCACCTTCAACCCCAATTTGGGATTGATTCACGATACACAGCAAAACAAGTAAAATATACCGGGCTCCTGCTAAGAGTGACTCACTTTTCGCGGGGTTAATCCGAAAACCCAACCACCTAACCGGATGCCTGGGACCAACCAAGCCTTTGGAGCAGCGACTGTGACTCATTGGCTTTTGGGTCTAACATTCATGTCTCACTTCTTGAGTGGATTGGCCGAAGAAGTAACCAACATCTTTATCTACCATCTACCACTTAAACGGTCTGCCCAAAAAGGTTACAACTCAGGGTGAGAAATATGTGTTTTTTGTGCCTTACTAGAACCCCGAAACCGTGGCGGTTTGCCAGAAATCCCACAGCGACAACATTGACAGCACTTGGGTGTCTGGACATGTGGACAATGGTCAAACCTCTTGGACGTCATGTTCCGGAGGATGATCCACCACTCCGAAGAGAAGACAAACATGCTTCATATGTGCTGAAAGAAAAACCTAACATTCGGACTTTGCGGCCATTGCTGTCAAAACTCCAGGCAAGCGCGGCTTGTGTGGTGAGGGGGAAGGGAGTAAACCGCGGTATTGCCAAATGCCTCCAAAACATGTTCCCTGCTTCCGTCAAGTTCTAAGCAACTTGCAGGACACATCATGGTAGACATCATGGCAGATCTTCACTTAGTTCAACTGCCTTCCATTTAAGCCCAGTGACAAGTCTGCCAGATCCCTCTCCATGTCACCTTGGGTCCACTCTGAACTCATTGAACGGCTTGAACTTACAAACCACATTGAGACAAAACCTCGCAAGACAAGATATGACTAATGTAGCCCCTTGAGTCATAATAAGACAATCCCTGTTCTTTCCAAAAACCGGATCCTGGGTTTCCGCTGGTTTTCTAGAAAGATCTGGATCCCTGGAAAGAATGGAAATGGAAGGTACCCCTAGAGAAGAGCTACCAAACAATGGGAAGGTCCCAAAAAACCAACAAAGTCCCCCCAAACATGTCTAAATAGTGGCCTCATTAAAACAAGATGAACGAACAAATTACGCCTAGAAATATCGACAATACCTGCAGTTCTTTAGCCCCCAACTTTTTGACCCTGTTACCGCTTGAGCACTGCGCCTGACTTGCGCGGCGGGGGTGCCACCTCTCAAGGACCAAAGCGTAGAGCCAGACCCAGGGCGCTTCTTGCACCACCGCCTCCGGCCTTTCGAGCGCTTTCGCTCGTCTTCCTTTTTCTTAAGGGGTTCTCCTATACTCACTTCCAGAGTTGGGCCCAAAAAAAGAAGGGCAACCACACGATTTGTCAGCCACTAAAACGAAAACCAATAGCTGGCCAATTGCCGGCACATCGATTTTGGGCAAAACGATGTCACTTTATGTCTAAGTGACTGCAAAAGCCATTTGCTATTAAGTATCACTCAATGTGCACTTAGTGCAATTTGTGCAATGATACAAGTACCGGTTTTGTAGTCACATAGATCTTTTCCCATCATCAAAGTGCAGTGAAAGGTCACTTTTGTTGACGCGTCACTTCAGGATACCACAGGGGATCCAGTCGAGGGGTTGGGCTGACATGTATGATCATTGCACATGCAACGCGCGAGGGGGGGGGGGGGAAGGGGGCGACCGCTAGTGACACGCTCATATTTTTCCAAAAAAGTACAGGTGTCGGCAATTGGCCACCGCCGTGACACGCTCCTCAAGAACCCCTCCCAACCTCAATCTTGCCCTCAAAACCTCAAATTTGCCAGCCTCCCCTTTCCCTGCAACCCCCTCCCCCCCCCCTCGAAGGTCACTTGTATCATTGCACAAATTGCATTAAGTACACATGAGTGATACTTAATAGCAAACTGCTTTTGCAGTCACTTAGACATAAAGTGACATCGTTTTGCCCAAAATCGATGTCGCCGGCAATTGGCCAGCCATTGGGGGGTGCTGGTATGTGACAATTGCCGGCACTTCACCCGGGACGCCAATTAACGGCCATTGAGGTTTTGTAGGCCACTAAAATGGCAACCAGAGTCCAAACCCAAAAAGTGACCAACAACTCCGTTCATGGAAGTGACTGTATCATCCCGTGAACCAGGTTCCTTTTTCCACGGCCCAGGGCCGGACCCATGGGAGTTGGTGTCACTTCTGGTAGCAAGGGGATGTGTTTCTGTGCGGACTAACACTGAGTTCCCTTTTCGTGAGTGGGACACGTAGACATCCTCCCAAGCTCCAAAAACCCTGAATTCTGGGCACGTGACAATGTTCAGAAACTGGAATGCCCAAAACTGAATCCAGATTACGCAGTGGGGGGATCCTATCTAGCTATGTTTCACAAACTGGAACTAGGGAATCCTCAAGTGAAAATCCGATTTTCGTGCGTGAACTTTGATGGAAACGCCCTTTCAGGAAGCCAGATTTTGTTGAATTCCTGTGTGAAAGAAACTCAACACAGCGTACCCCCAAGGCCGGATCGAGTCCCTTCTGAATCTCACACTACAAACACTAGGTGATAACTAGGCCGTCAGGCAAACGTTTCCTGTGGGGGAACCCCAACATCATGAGCTCTTTGTTGGTCAACATACCCTAAGCCTAGGTTCTAAATATGGGTGTGTCCTTTTTTGAGGGTACCCAGTGTTCTGTGGGTTTAAAGGAAAACCAAAAGGAAGAAAAACCACCATACGTGTTTGTTTTGCCGGGGGGGGGGGTCCAACCATAAAAAGGCGGACCCAAATGCAGCACCCAAAACAGATCAGTGTGATGCAGCAGGCCTGCCCTGACCCATGGCGAGCATGGCTTGGTTTTCCACATAGGACAGGATCTCTTCCAAGCAGTTGCTGTCCATGATGTCGCTGTCCTCAGGTCCCATTCTGTGCACAGAAAATGGACACCCTGAAATCCACATGTCTCATACCATGCACCTAACTCACCTAACCGGTGGCGATGTCGTGTGTGTTAAAACAGGGGACACACACACACACGAAGAAATTCACCTTTCCCCTTATTTGAAATCATCAAACAAATGGTGGCCTCGAAAGACGCACACTGTGGGGCTTGTGTCAAAACGATGCGCGCAACCAGCATCTGGCGCTCTGACAAGCAACCATGAACATACCAATTGGATGGTCAACGAACTCACCAAGGTTATAACCGTGGTTCTCATTCTAACCTACTCCCTAAGTGGGTTGAACATCCAAGTAATCGAAGCATCCAATAAACATGAACTCATGCACCCAAGCGAATGCATCACGTGAGCCTAGAGCCTGGCGACTGCTTCTAGTTGCCAGGCTTGGTCTTAGCAAACTAGTCGTCCCCCCCGTCATGGCGTTCGTGGCAGCTTGCTGGAACCGGAAACAAATCAGACAGCCGCTTTGATCTGCATTGAAAAGGAACGACACATCTGGGGGGGTTCTCCAAATAGGGCCCCCCGTGGTGGATGGTTCAAAGGGAAACCAAAAGGACACCACTTGCCGAGAGGGGTCCCCAATTTTGAGATACATCTCACATGGGAGGTTGTCAAGACTTGGGGCCAAGGAGGCCCTAGGCCACTAGGTGCCAGTGTTTCTTCATTTTGCTTGCTTTTTCGCCCCCTGGAGACAAAAAAACAACAATATCTCCAGCAGTGAAATCGATTCCCTGTAAAACCATCAGGGGGAATAAAGAAAAAAACATATCCTTACTCAAATGCAAGGTTTTGGAGAGAACCAGACCTACTTTCAACTGGGCCGAAAAAAGAAAGAAAGAAAAGCAAATGGACCGGAGCTTCAGGCTGCGATCCAAGTCAGTCCTCATGTTGACCCCGGATGAAAAAAAAAGCCAGCAGTTTGCAATAGGCGGGTGGCTTTTTGGTGCCCCGCCAAAAGTGGAGTCTGATGGATTCATCAACCCGTGTTTGTTCATAGGAGGGTGGTTTTGGGTTCCCCTCCATCGTCTGATTCCAACCACATTTCACGCATTTCAGCCAGCACCGGGATCCGCATTTCAAGCTTCAAGCCGAAGCCTCTGGTAACTCGTGGGATTCAAAAACACCCTCGAGGCCTCGGGGCCTACCTTCCTTTATGATGTTCTCACCAAATCAAAACACAAAGAATTGAAGAAAAAGAAAGAAAACGCTTTGGCGGCCTTGAAACCAATGATCAAAAGAACGGCTCCCGAATTTGAGCAAACCACTCAGATTGAATTCCCCCCCCCAAAAAAAAGAAAGAAAGGACAAGCAGTTCTGTAAATAATGGGCTGGCAAAAAGTTACTCCAAACTTTTTGTTTGTCACCAGAATCGCTAAAATGGTCACCCAAAAAAAGTCACAAAAGTCCTTGAACTCAGGGAGTGAGATCTCTGGGATCCCAAGGGAATCCTTCGTGATCGGACCTCCGGTCTGCGATCCCTCGCCTGCTTCAGCATCTGCGCCCCGTAGGCTGCCAGCAGCAGCGCGCACACCGCCACCCGCCGGGGCAGGTAGCTGCGGCGGTGCATGTCTCGCACCGCCTCTGCCTAGGACTCGAGGAATCGCACCGGGAAACCTGTGAAGTTTCTTGTTACCATCTTACCTCTGAGAGAAAACCAAGATCTAGGTCCTCGAGTAGAAGGTTAGAATAAAGGCACCAGTAGTCTATTTTAGTAGGGGAACCCTCCCCCAAAAAAGGGTAAAAAGGCACTACTGGGGAACCTAGAAAACATTCATGGAGCTTCCTGTGCAAAAGGGGGCTACTCACTAAGTTCAACTACTCTGAAAGTGAGTCAAGGCAAACACCCCGAATTAGCCCACAAAGCCCATACGCAATGAATGCAGGCCGACCATTCAAGTCTGTCCCTTCGGCAGTCGTGTGAAGAACATGGACATTTGCGCCAGCTTTTAGAGGGGCTCGATGATCATCCCCATCCCATGTCAGCTGGTCGTTTGACTGATGCGTGCATTTTGTAGGAACTCGATTCCTAGGCGTGACTGATTCACCACGGTCATGCAACCGCCAAGGAAGAAATACCTATGTCCCACGTTGGTATGACAAGAAATTTGCCCACAAGGAGCGGCTTGAAATGTTGCTGGTGCATCTGCAAATTCTACATCGCTACTTGGCACGTGGTTCCGCGACTGGCCTGGACATGGCACATTGGTGGCCCAAATTGTTGGGCGTCCCAAAAAGTCGCCGGTCCTGAGCTTGCGCTTCAGTAGCGACTGCAGGGATAAAGTCCAACCAAACGTTGGAACGCTGTCCTCTTGGTTTGCCCCTTGAATCAACAACCACTTGGCTCTCCCTTCACAGTCTACCACCTCCAGGAAACAAACCCAGTGACTGGGCGAACACGGGGGGCCGACCCTTCGAACAGCTCACTGCCTTTCCTTTGACCAGAAGCCCACGGAAGGCTTTCCGAAGCGACGGGAGAGCTCCGGGGCTCGCACGAGCACGGGACACACCAGGCGAAGGAAGAGCGCCTGCGGCGAGGCGAGGCGGCGAGGCGAGGGTTTTTGAAACACTTTTGGGGTTTCGAATTGAGGAGCCTTCCCTAAGTGGTCATTTGTCGCCCCATTCCAGGGCAACCCAGGTTGTTTTTTGAAACTGGCCACGGTTGCGTTTCTCATTGAGGAGCCTTTGCCAATAGTGATCTGTTGCTTTCCCTTTCTCGCCCCATTCAAGGGCAACCCAGGTGGTTGTTTTATTGCTTTCCCATTGCAACAAGGGCCCCATAAAAAAAAGAAAGTCCATTGTGACGAACATTTGGGGACGCACATTGGCGTCCGAGAAACCATTTCTTTTCCCACCCCAAGGGGCCCTGCTTGGCAGCCTTTTTGGGGCTGGTTCAAAGAAGCCTGCCCAAGTCTCTAAGTGGGCAACAAAAGGGGCCCTGTTTGTAAATGATGAGGGACATGTCAGTGCAAAATCCGGGAACACCTTTGCCTAAGCCCTGCACAAAAAGCAGCGGACACATTTCAATGAGCTCCAGATAGCTCCAGCCAATAAGCGATCCGGACATGTCACTCTTTCCGGCTCGGTTCTAAATGGCCTCGCGGCTTCTCATTCAACAGCTCCTGACGCCCAAACGTTTCTGCCATGTTCATTGCTTTTTAGGCATTGAGTGCAGGCAATATGTCGGTGGAGTCGTAGGATTCTGCACAAGGGAGCCTGAGGAAGATTCCTTGGCAAATGCCATGAAACAAATATCTGACAGCGAAGCGCTGGTCCCTGCAGTTTGCTGACCCTTGTCGATTGAAACACCCTTGTATTCAAATGGTGCGCCCAAACCAACAAAAAACTAAGAAGGCAGTCGCCATTAGTTTTTGTCGGGACTTTCCCTTGCTTACCTTCACGAAACAACCTCTGTTTTGACCGTGGCTCTTGTGATCATTTAAGCGATGGACGACTCTGCTTTTTGCAGTTTACTGTGCGATTTGCTTAAGTGACCCTACATATTTCAGCTGCTAACACAAAACTTGAGGGTTGGTCTAAACAGCTTCTAGTGTGTCACATGATGGATTTGACAGAAACACGTTTTTAGCCCAACGCTAGGGGGAAATGACTGGTCTGGTCGACCCTGTTGCATTCGGCGGATCCCTATAGTTTTGGACTTGAAGACTTGGCGCACAGTTGTGCGCAGAAAACAGTCTACCCAGAGGCTCCTGGGGCTTTCAATGGAAGACCGGACCCCTCCATTAGACACCCTGGAGGTGGTTGGGGGTCTCAAAACCAGGTTGTTTGAAGGCCCTAAATCAATCGGGAGGGGTATTCAGTTTCTGCTCCAAGTTTGTCTACCCTAAAATTTAACAAACAGATTCGCCTTGCGAGGAGACTCCAAACGAGGTCATTCGCACTACGACATTCGGTGCTTCAGTCCCGCCTCGCCCTGGAGCGCCCAGAGCAAGCGCACAAGGCCCAAGGTTTGCTGGCACGCCTCCATGGGTTTGGTCTGATCCTCGGACGCAAAAACTGCAGAAACACACACCATGGAACCTGGAGATCAACATGCCCCCTCTCGAAAAGAAACAAAATGTGTAAAGAAAATTCCAAATGAATTTGTTGCCATGGCATACTGCCGGACACAATTCAGGCCAGGCGCCTGGTGGAATGGATGAAAGCTCTAGAAATGTTGGAATAACACAGAAGGATCATACTGGGTGGGATTGCTGGTGTGATGGCAGCAACAAGCCAAACCTCTGCCTGAACCATCAGGGCCGAGCTGAAACTCGTGGGGGGAAGAGCTGAAATTGAGGTGGCCGTCAGAATGGCTCCTTGTCCGGAAATCTATCCTAGCAAACATGTGCTGAAGTCTGGCAAATGGGTGTTTTTTGAGGGTACACCCTTTTTTGGCGGATTGAAAGGGAAATCAACGGGAACACCTCATCTTGGGGACCCTCCAAGCCAAATAGGATCCATGTCCAGTGCAGCGGAAGGTGACAAACGCTGGTACAACCGGACCTGAACTCCGTCAGCGCAATGGGCAAATGCTCAATAGACCCCATTTGTTTGTCACGACTCTTTTTTGATTGCACGGCTTTTTGGCAGCAAGCAAATATATACGTATATATATATATATATGTGTGTGTGTGTGTGTGTGTCCGTGTCAACCAATGCCACACAAAGTCTTCATCCAAAGGTAACTGTTGCCAGGACCGACTACGACCTTGGCATCAGGCCGGCGGCCAAGCTGGGCAGGAACAACGAAAATCTCTCAGCCAGTCAGGGGTTTGACTGACCAATGTGCTTGCAAGCTGTACCCAAGCAAGAGACCCTCATTCCTCCAGTAGAGAAGGTAGAATACGGGTACCCTTTTTTTTCTGAAGTCTGTTGTATTTGTGGAACCCCCCCCAAAAAAAAAATGGAAAAAGGGAACTACTGTGGGACCTAGCCAAGCCAGAGACATCTACTGCAGTTGCTACCCGCGGTTGTACTGAGCAGCTTCCGCTGAAAGAAGGCCCTTGAGGAACATCCCGGCACCTTGGGGCGTAGGCAGATAAGGTCCATGCAGTTTTGGACGAAAAACTAACAATAAAACAAAAAAGCACAAACAAGCCCGAATACAAACAACAAGACACGCAAACCAGCAAACAAAAAAAAAGAAACAAACAAACACACAAACACAAACAAAAAACAAACAAACAACCCTAAGGCTCCAAATGCCCCATGGGGCGTCGCTGGCCAATGGGGCGTCAACTTGGCAGACTCGAGGGCCCACATGGTTCGACCCCTCAAATTGAGGGCCCCACATAGTTCGACCCCTCAAATTGAGGGCCCCACATAGTTCGACCCCTCAAATTGAGGACCCAAAGGCCCACATCGTGCAGGCTGCAGAAAGTGGCGGTCAAATAGGGAAGCCTTCAAAAATGGTGGTTTCCGTTCAGTTGTCCTTAACCCAAAAAGGGTACCCTTGAAAACAGACGAGCCGCCCATTTTGGCTTCCCAAAGTTCAGCTGAAAACATGGCCACCGCCTGTGGCCTTTGGTCCAGTTCATCGCGGGGCCTTTTCGGCTCGATGCCTGGGCTTGCCTGCGCTCACCGCACCTTTGGCGCGGAGCTTAAGCCCCATCACACTCAAATACCGTTGGGCAACTCGAAAGGAAAGGGTCCTACGGTGAGCGGTCTTTGTCATGCGGCCAACCATGCCGATCCATGACTCGCCACTCATCAACATGAAGTTCCTAGGGTTGACCCTAGTCAACCTGACTGTTTCTGCACAATGCATGAAATAGTGCAGCTTTGGGGACAAAAGCCAAGAAGTGCGGTTCGTTGCACTTGCGCCTCGTGTTGCCCGACTTTTCGCATGAAGTGAGGCATAGGAGGTCAAGTGAATCATGGCGTACTTGTAAAAGTCGTTGGATGCCTGTTCGCTCATCAAGGACCCGTTTTGGTCCATCAGCTTGAGACAATAGGTGTAGGACCAGATTGTCGTGCACACATCTTTGTCAAGCGCTCTGGCAGAAGGGCGATTGGCAAATTCCTCTGCCAGCTGAGCCAACCAAAAGCTGATTGTCTTGCTGTTTGCAGCTTTGCTTGAAAGAACAGGAAAACTGGTTCGTGTTTTTCGGCTGAGACGTGATGCTGTGAAGCGAGGCTGGGATGTGGCAAGGCGGTTGCTCGAGGCCCACTTCAAAAACATCACATGTGCTCGCCGAAGCCTGGCATTCAGGATGTCTCGGTAAATTCCATGCCTAACCCAGCTCCCAAAAAAACCATTTTCAGCCAAATATACGAGGCATGATCCGTTGACATTCATTCCTGTACCCAAATACTGTCCATGACAAATGTCATGAAGGAATCGCTCTGACCTCAGCCCAGGGACTTTGAACAGAGCGGATCCTTAGCTGAAGCTAGAGTCACGTAGCTGCTAAGGGCACCAAACAAAGGGGACCCTGTTTGTCCAACCCCCAACCTGTTTTTCTGACCCCCTTGTAAACTCTTGGTTTAAGGGCAAAAAACACCTTTGGGGCCAATAAAGCAGGGTCCCCCCCAAACAAAACACAGCTTTGGCCAGATTGGGTAGACAAGTTTCGGCTCTCTTCCTCAGTCATGCTAATGAAATCTTCGTGCGCATAGCGAGTTTGCCGGTGTGCAGCTGATTCCCGGAAGTCAGCGAGCGTCATTGACACGTCCGGGTGGTTCTTTACGCATGGGCACAAAGAGCAAAACTCGTTGCTGCGATATTGAAACAGCTGAAACTTGCTGCAAATCCACGCGAGGTCGCCCTGCACACTGGAGAACATCCACTGATACCCTGAGGCTGTCCATGGAAAAACGGCATTGGGGTCGACCATTCGACATAATCTTGGGACAAGCGCTTGCATGAGGTCTTCAAACGTTGATTCTGTCGCATGGTGTTCCGAATAAACGTTGATAAGAAGGTATCTCTTCATTGGGTGGTTGGTCGGGACAAAATCGCTGGTCCACCCCAAAACCTCTACCGTCCCACTTTGGGTCTGCTTGAATACGTTGATACCATCTCCGTATAAGGAAAACGGTAAAAGGTGTGAACGCGGCTGATGATTGGCCATGGGGTGCTTTTTGAACCAGTCACAAAATCTCGCATGGTGATCCCAATATGCCGATATGTCTTCTGTTCCGCAAAAAAACTCCCGGAATACATCCTCACCCCTGCGCCAAATGCAGGCAGCAAGGTCGTCAGGCCAAATGACAAACATGTCCTCAGGCAGCTCTCGGCCCTTCTTGTGATTGTACATCCGCACTTTGATTTTTGAAATAGGCGCGTCTAGAGTTATCCCTGCCGCACGCAAGAGCACATGCGTATCGCGTTCGCAGTTCTGTGCGCTTGCACCGTGGCCCCCCAGAGCCGCCACACGGGCCACAATGTCATCCTCTAGAATGGGTATTCCATAGGAAGCAGCCCAGCGCAAGGCACTTGCCGCAAGTTCTTGGGCCTTGGGCACCCTGAATTGGCACCGCAACCCCAAACGCAGCTGTACCTCTGGGGGCTGGACACTTTTGAATTTTAGGGGGACATGACCACAAAAAGGAGGCTTCGCATCTCAAGTCCAGAAGTGTCCAACCTCCAGAGGTACAGCTGGCCACCGGGAAAAGTTAAACATGTGTTTCCAAAGGGTGCTCAAAAAAACAAACATATGATCACCAAACGGCCCTTGCAGCAGTGCATTTGCCAGTGACGAAGTCCTCCATCAGGCGATGCCCTAACATGGTGTCCTTCAGGGCAGGTAATCTTTTTTTTTTTGGAATTAAACTGCTTTATTATGGCTCCTCTGTTGGCACTTGCGCCACCCGAGGTCGCTTGCATGGCGGCTGCTGCTCGGCTGGCCCACGAGAAGGTCCAGGCCCACCCGGCGCGGTGCCTTCCAGGGGAGGAGCGCGGAAATTCTATTCAGTTGCGGTTTATGCCCACATACCCCCCAAACAAGCTGATCCCTTTTTGTGAAAAATGTATATGTTACAACATTGTTGGACAACCCCAGGTTGAGGGAATCACCATCACCTACCAAAGTTGATGCGAATGGAAAGGCCGTAGGAGCATCGATTTTGCAGGTTGTGATTTTCAAGCGGTTCCCCAATAAGGGCGCTTGATGGTTCTCATAGTTTAGCCAGAGCCTGGTCACCATGAGGCAGTTGCTGGCCATGCCATGCTTCCCAAACAACAACGAGGCTGTTCTTGTCACTTTAGGTGGGTCCCAAAAGTAAACACCCCAAAAATGGAAGCCTATGCAGCCATGCAAACCTTGTCGAAGAAATAGGGAGCCAACTCACAAAGGGGGGCTACACCAAAGAAACCCAAACTGTCCATCAAAGGGTGACACTGACAGTTTGCAACAGGGAGGCACATTTGGGATTATTCTCAACCCCTAGTTCACAGAATGCGTTTTCAAACGTAGTGTTTGGGGGTGCCCTGCACGATTCTCGTATTTGTTGAAGCCCCATATGGAAAGATAAACCATTTCAGCCACACATCTCAAAGCCCATGGCTGAGCCAAACTGCCAACTGAGGTGCCTGAAAAAAGTAAATGTCCGGCAATGGCCATATTGCAACCGCAAGATGATAATTTACTATAATGGGGGTTGATCCGCTGAGCAAGGAAATATGGCGGCCTTTCGTTTGGGACCTGGCTCTGGGCAGGGGTGGGTGGATTCCGCCGCACCCAGACGCTGCAGCTCCCTGCAGTTTTGCAACTCCTCTCGCTCGCAAGATGCCATAGGATCACGCCCATTTTGAGGCAAGTTCGTCTAGCGTGCAGCTTGCCACCCCGCAGAGGCTGCACTTTGCGCAGTAAAGCTTCCGCAAAAGACAATTTTAGGAAGGATGCTCTCGAGCACACGGTTTATGTATTTGGGGAAGCCTTACACATGCGCATGCCCAATTCTAAACGCAACAGCCTCGGAAAAAGAAACTGCGTGCATGCGTATCTATGCAGAGTAAAGGTTGGGCTATCACAGGGATACCCTTTCTGGAACATGACATCTCCCCACGGCTGCAGAGTTTAGACCCAGCAAAACAGAAGCCACTCATCACATCGAATTTGTACTTCCACCTGTCCAGGCCAGTAACAGGGCCCAGCAAATGGTGGTTTTCAAGCTGTATATGCACTGAAGATGAAGCAAATCACAGGCCTTCCAAGCCATGTTGTTCTAATCCTTCTTCTCTTCTTTTTTCGATGTTTTGCAAACATTGGCTGCAATGCGTTTGTCCTCCATGTACATTTCGACCCTCTGCTCCGCAAGGCGGATGGCAGCATCGACACGCGTCGCGTCCACCGTGGCCGGGTCCTGAAGCGCAGGGTCATGGGAGTGGGCCTGGGGGTGGGGGCAAAGGGACCCTAACCATCCTCCTTGGAAATCTTTTGCAGCTGGAAATACGAAGCTTCCAATTCAGCTGCGTGAGCCGTCATGGTATTGCCTTAGCTAGCTAAGAACTCAGCCACGAGCACCCCAAGATATGGGCTTGAGATTTGTCCGTCGTTTGGGGGCAGACTAGCGGCAAAGTTCTTGTTGATGCCGCATTTCGACCAACTTGACTGGGAAAATCTTGGCTTCGCCCAGCGCCGTCAAAAGGCGTGGCACGTGCCACGCTGCAAGAGCCAGCGGTTCGGTTGGCTTCTCCAGCCTCAGTGGCATCAATATGCAAATTAGGCAAATGCTTGGGCAAACACGGTTCAAATAATGCAGGTACGGAACTTCTTCCGGAAACCTTCCCCCTTTCCGCTTTCTTGTTTCGCCTTCTTCTCCCCCTTCTTGTTCCCCTTAGAAGCTTCATCAACATGGGTGCCACCAACGGAGCCAGCTGGGGCAGAGGGAGTTATGTGCATTGGCCCGGTGTTGTTCATGGTGAGGATGTTCGACAGATTGCTGCCAGCAGCCAAAGTGCTAGCAGCCTGCGCGTTGGGTTGGCCACACATGGGATTTGCTATGTGCCCACCGGCCTCAGTGCCAATCTCTGCATGAGCCGACAAGTTGACTCGCATCTCATCCTTTGTTTCCTCTGA